CAACAATACAACAACACAACAACATGACAAACAAAAACAACAACAACAACCAGCAACATCAGTCAGAGCCCTTGTGGAGTCCCAATCTGCAGCCTTTGAAACAACCTTTCACTTAGAATCAGATGTGGAAACTTTGTTTGAGGATGATGAAAGCTCAAGTGATGAGGAGGAGGTTGATCATATTGAGCTTGAGTGTCATTATGATTCAGACACATTCAGAATGAGTCACGAGGTGGAAGCACAAGCTGAGTTTTTCAATGTAATTACTCTGAGCCAAACAGCTTGGAACTGGGACAATACAGTTGAGCCTCATGATACTGAGTTCTTCTAAGGTTTCACCTTACCTGAAGCAGTTCATTTTGATGGCATCCTTTTTATGCATGGAGCTTGTGAAGGAGCAAGTGAGAATATCAAGTATAAATGGGATGCAAAAGATTATTCATTCAATGAGGACATTGCAAACACGATGAGTTGCACAAGGTGGCATGAAATTAAAAGGAACATGAAGCTGTGCAAAAACAACTTGGAAAGGCATCACCACCAATCCCCCAACAGTGGTAATCTAGCTTAAAAGTTTGACTACATATATGAGACTATGGCGAACAATACAAATTATTTCACTGAATGGGCTGACTTGGACCTATGTATTGATGAGACAAGCTGGCCATAACAAGGCTTTGGTGAACCCCTCATTAACTATCCTGAAGGAAAGATGATTACCAGAGGCAGACAGACAGTGATCATGTCTGATGTCGATTGCATCCACTGGAGGGCATGGAAACATCAATATTGTGGATGGGAATCTAGCAATGATTGGCATACCTGCACTGGCCGTGCCTGCCCCATATCACAGCTGACAATTTCTTTCTATCAGATTCTATCTTGGATTGGATGGGTGAGCAAGGGTTGGGTATGATAGGCACTGCTGCTAAGAACAGATTACCCACAAAGGTTCCAGGGAAGTACTTTTATAAGAAAAACGCCAATTGGGATTCCAAAGGGAAACAGAGAGCTATCTTGCTAAGCCTATCACTGCTGTGAAAACTGTACCAGCTGATCCTGAAAAAGGAACCAAAGCCTGCTATAGAAGAGCGCATCGTTCAATCCAAAGCACCGGAGCCTGAAATTCAGGATCAGTGAACTCTGTTCCAAGAAGTTAATGGAAGATTTTGCTTCACTCAGACTGAGTATAAAAGACATTTGAAGGCAATGGTGCCCACCAAGTCAAGGAGCAAAAGTATTTGTTACATGTGTGGTAGTAATACTTACAGCTTGTGCAAGCTATGTCGTGGAGTCCCTCTATGTGTCACTACAAGCAATTCAAAGAAGAGGGATTCCAATGGAGATCCCATCCGGAAGTTCTGTTACAGCAACTACCACAATTATGAGTGGTTTGGGCTTGGAAGAAGTGGTGACTACTGCACTAGAGTTAGAAATGACAAACCAACTAAAGACAGGAAATTTGGAAGCCTCCAAGCAATGAAGAGTTGCAAGCCTCCAAGGAATTGGAAAAGCTTTGATCCATGTAGTAAGGATGTCCCCACTCATCAAAGACAAACTGTTTTGCACACTGAATGCATGGGATTAGATTGTTTTCCCTCTTCATTACTGTCTTGTATATCTCAAAGAACCACTCATGTTTATCACSAACACTTGTCATCTCTAGAGGAAGCAGTGGCTTTCTAAATGGAGCTAACTCAATTGCCTTTGCAGGATTTTTTTTCAAGCAGGTCTTCTTTAGACATCCAGGGCACGTCTCATTAAGTTSTTTGTTGTGTGGTGTTGGCTTCCAGTCCCATTCCCAGTTCTCCACCCACCACCAGCTTAGTCTTGTCTTAGTCTTGATTCAAGAGGAATAAGAAAAATTGGACCTGTAACAAGGGATCATTGATTACTTCTGGTGACAGAGSCTCCTGAGCTTCAGGGGGAGATGCAGAGGTGTCCATTACAATCTGTATGTTCCATCCAAGGCCTGGATTCTTGATGCTCTTCTTTATGCTCAAATCAATGGAAAAATTGAAAACACCCCAAGAATATAACAATGCTACAGTACCAAACAAACATTCAACCCAAGTCACAGAAGAGCTCAACAGGGCTCAGGAGGAGTTCCTGAAGTTTAGTAAAAGGGGGAAAGAAACCTGCTTCTCTTGTTGACTATGATGATACTGGTGTGACAAGATGGTGGTCAACTTATGCTGGGGTTAATCATGGAAAATTTGAAGAAACATGCAGGTGGTGACTCAAAATGGTGCCTGAATGATATCGTGTTGTTTGTGTTGGACCCTGCTTACCTCAAAAAAGTAACCCAGAAAGCTACTAGTAGTACTACTACTACTAGTATGATGCTGCTGCTGGTGGTGGTGGGCGGGGGTTGTTGTACTACTASTACAAAGAAGGGGTTTTGAGTCAAAGTAATTATTGTGCTAAAAAAAGCAGCCCAAAAATGACTGATACAGCAATCGGCACTTTTTAATGCTCTGATGGTGGTTAAATGATATGAGTTATCTCAAGGACTCACACCAGCCAACAAGGCATGAAATTAGGAAGGCCACACAGCACCAGGAGCAGGAGAGGGAATCCACCACCCAATTCTTAATGTCGTTCCTAATACCGCTTCGTACGATACATCGTACTTACCGGCACAGTTCGTACTTTTTCGACGCTTCCGTCCCGTTCGTTGTTCGTTCCGTTCCCCCATGGTTTTACTTCTTTACGTACGTACGTACGGTCGAGCTTCGAGGTCCCAGTTTTAGTCCCAGTTTGGAACGCGTCCAAGAGCAGTGCATTCTTTTCTGGTCTCGAAAATACATGAATCTTCCTGTTGAAGTCTGCTTAGGGGTACTTCAGGAAAGCCTGACGTGGGCGTCAGCCTACCACAAGATCTTGTTCGGTAGAAAGGGGATCCATTGAAATACCGGCATTTCAGGGTACTAAAACTAGAATGATTCGCCATACTGCATTCAATATGTTTCATTGGCGGAGGACACGATGATGGAGTGTTCTAATGAAATCCAATATCTGAACCATGGTGCATTGTTTGTGGAGCATCGTCCCCAATTTCAAATTGCGCGCGAGAGTTTTGGTCCTTTCTTGCAAAGAAAATTGCTTGGCCCGTGTCGGCTCACAGGAACGAGAGGTCTTTCGGCCAAAGCGGCTCTTTTTTTCTCCAATTCCGATGGTTCGTCCTGCGGTCGCCGCTCTACGTCTGAAGCATCGCCCTCCATCATGGATCGAGCCTCATTGAATGGCAACACATCACACAACTCTTTTCAACTTCTTGAAAACCCTCCCATCACCAGGTCTATTGTTGAGATTGATTGCATGCCAATTAGGTAATCGAATCTTTACCTAATTCGCCAGCCCCTTGATCCACAAACAGTAATGCACGAAGCTTTTCTTACTTGTACTCAGTTTCAGTATCCACTCAAGCATAAAAAGATCAAACGAARTCGTGAATAGGAAGCCTCCTCACACAGTTGCAAGAACAGCACCCAAAAATCCCACTACAAGATTCCAATCTACCAAGGAAACATAAWTTTAACAACAAATACAAAATGAAGACTGTCTCATTCTCGACATTTCTTTCGCTGATTGCCATTTCCGTTTCCGGTGCTGAAGCTTTYGCACCGAATGGACGTGCGTTCGTGGCACATTCGACACAACAACTTCTGAACAATGACCCTTTCCTCGTGCGAGGCGGTGCTCAACAGCAATTGTTGAGAAAAGAGCAACCAAAGAAAAACTTTCGGTATAAATCTGTATCCGCCTCGGTCGGAGCGTCCGACGGCAGCAGCAGCAGCACTAACTTGTTGCAGGGCCTAGCCTCTGCGCCCCTCACCAAAGCCGTCCTTTCGTCCACCCTTTTTGTCTTYACCGACTTGGTCATCAAGAACCTCTTTAAGACGAAGGGTATTTCCTTCCCGTCTTCTCTAGCCGGTTGCTGCTTCCTGGCGGCCTCGCTTTTGGCCTCGCCCTTCCACGAAAAACTCTATCGCATTCTCAACCCGGGGGCGAAGCTCATGCAAAAGTTTATGATGATCTTCTTGGTTCCAAACCTCATCGTCTTGCCTCTCTGCGGGGGAAATTATTCGGCACTGGAGGTAAGTCAACGCAAAATTTGTTTCTGAGAAGTTGCAAACTCTCGAAAATTTTGAAGAATTTGCGATTTTTTGTCGTGGTGAAAGTCTGAATCCAACGAAGCAGGTGGACTATTAGGAATTAACKATTTCAACAAAATAGCATATTGCGAGGGATTCCAAAGCCTATGGGGTGCTGGCATGCTGCGAAGAACCGATTTCTCCCATCAAATTTTATTTTCTAAAATGCTGCTATATTGTTATTTATTTTTTGTCCATTTTTCAACGATCGTTGACTCTCCCTCGTGCTCCAAAACACCAACGCTCTTCATTAAAGATGGCAAAAATCACTACAATCATCCTCGGGGGATTCCTTTTTTCCTTGTTGTCGACATGYTATTCAGTTACAGCAGTTTCCAAGCTCTTTGGAACCAACACCGGCGACGCATCAACCTCTGCCACCAGCACCGAAACTGCTGCAGTTTCGTCTCACGCCAAAACAGCTAAGCCCAAGGCCTTTTCGGACGAGCTTACTTATGGATCCCGTGCACTTATGGTTCTCTCGGGAGCCGCTGCAGCGATCTCCAGCAACGTCGGAAGCACTCTCACGACACCATTGATGGCTCTGAGTATGCTGGCCGCAACCGTACACAACTTTGCCTTTGGAGCTCGCCAGTCTAAGAAATTCATCAAGGTCTTCCATCCGTTGGTGTCGTGCACCGTTCTTTCTTGGGTCTGGGCCACTATTCTCGGATGGACCACCGGTGGTACCCTCACCTCCATGCTCCAGGGATACCGCGCCGGCGGACCTATCAGTCTGGCCGCCTCCGGGGCCGGTGACTACTTGACATTTGTCTTGGGACCTGCCGTTGTAAGTTTGGGCGTTAGCATTTACGAACGACGTGTCCTCATCAAACAAAATATCAAGGAGGTCCTTACTGCCACCTTTGTCTCCTGCGTTGGTGGGCTCTTCGGAACAGCGGCCGTCGTCCGAATCATGGGATTGGCATCGGCAGAATTGCGTTTGAGCATGCTTCCCCGCAACATCACATCCGCCTTGGCCGTTGCCATTGCCGACATTGTCGGCGCCAACAAGTCCCTCGCGGTCGCGATTGCTATCGTGACGGGATTGATCGGTGCCAACTTCGGTGCCAGTCTCCTCGACCTATTCGGAATCAAGGATCCCATCACCCGCGGTCTTGGAATTGGATCCGCCGCCCACGGATTGGGAACGGCTGCCTTTGTCGACGAAAAGGATGCATTTCCTTTCGCCGCTATTTCCATGGCACTGACGGCGATCTGTGGAACCCTCTTGGTCTCCGTCCCATCCGTCAAGGCTCTCGCCATACGCATTGCCCTTGGTGGACTCGCTTAAAAATAACAGACATCGGACAGATGAAGTAATCAAATATTAAACAACTTATCACTGAACGTCTAACATCCACACGGCGCAAATCAGCATCGTCCTCCCAGTGATAAAGAATGGAGACCAATGCTGTGGAATATTAGTTTGTGGAATTGTCACATAGTGACGATCTCGGCATCTACATTGCTGCGTTTGTTCTTTCGCGGTACATGTCCTGGTTAGTATTTCATCGGTAATTGATCGAACAGGTCCAATATCTGAAGGGTTACTCAAGGTCAGCGTGTTCTGAATGATGATGCGACTAACGAATAATCCGATGACATATTTTTTGATCGCATTCTCGTAATGAGTCAAATACTTAAAGCGTGTTGGACTTCTGTAACATATTATTTTACTCTTTTCTCCTTGCATTATATCATCGCTTCAATTTGTTATCATATTATGTTCTTGTGAGACTTGTTGCTTTCACTAGTTCTGCAGAAGTTGAACAGCCGCGAAACAGCTGGGGCGAAACAGTGGAAGTTGGTGACACTTGTAGACTCACATTCTAGAGCCGTACCGGAACTCTTCCGGGAAGCACTTCTTCGTTTTGAAGAAAGCACTAATGCCGTGCATATTTTATCTGATAGCCTTTTTTTCTTTGTTTGAGTTTGTTGCACTATTCTTTCGTTTTCATCATCTTCTTCTTTGTCGGAATATATGTTGTATTCAAATAATTGGTTGTATGCCGAACCCGTCATAGGCTTGATTTTGATTATCTTGCCATCTTTTACGGTAGCAAAGGAATGGAATATACATAGCTGATTCTCCTCACTACTAGTGTAGTAATCCACTAGCTGATACGTATAGTGAAAAGATTCGTTGTCCAAGACTTCCATCACAATGTCTTCAACTTGTAAACCCCTATCGAAATTTCTTTTTATTTGGTACGCCAGGAAATCTCCTTTATATGATCGACCGTTCAGTTCCATTCGTATTTCAGGATCAAATGCATCGTGAAATAAGGAGTCAACAAAGGAACTGGACCTATTGTAGCTTTTCAACAGGATCTCAAGCTTGTCCATTGCCATACGGCATGAGGCGGGCTTTGTCATAATGGTAGTTTTCTTTTCCGGAAATAATGGTAGTGCGGAGACTTTTGCTGTTATGCTAGCCGTTGTGACTGCTGTATCGATATTGTGCATTTATCTTCCGAGATTGAATCTTCGTGCGATAACTTCAGTCTTSGAGAGGATAGATGCAGAAGGTGGAGCGCCATATGTACAGTAGGGCAACTTACTTGTCAGTTTAGTTCCCATTTTAATGTAATGCACGAGCTACTAAAAACCAAAAAGTGGCGAAGATGAGTTGCCTGATACATAAATGGAAACCCAGATTTCAGTTTTTGTAAGTAAAGATATTACGTTTGTAGAATGCATCAAGCGATGAAGATGATTGCGTTATTTACTGTACCCTTCAACCACACGGTACGTCAGTTCGTGGTTCGGCAAGAGCTATGATTAATGATTACAATATTTCTCGTGTGATGCACGCTAAAACTACGAGTTTCGTACTTTTTCCATGGGTTACCGTTATTTGTTTGGACGTCAGGCATGTCTACTAGAGCTACTAAGTACTAGAGCTATTAAAGGCAAGCCCCGTAGTGGCAAGTTATTGGCAATTCCCCGGGTGTCAATTTTTTCTCATTTTCCCGTCTTTATTTCCCCTCTCCCCCCCCCTCCACACAAAAAACTATGAAGTCCTAAAATATTTCTATTGGTGCTCCTTACTACTGGGGATATAAAATCAGTGGTTACTACTTGAGAATTAATATTAGTGCTTACTACTGGATCACCTCCATTACTACTTACTAGTTKGGATGCVRTAGTAGTGAAAACTGCAAACTGCTGGGTAAGGGGGTTCTGTTGGTGCTGCGAGAGGCACTAATATTAATTCTYAAGTAGTAACCACTGATTTTATATCCCCAGTAGTAAGGAGCACGAATAGAAATATTTTAGGACCAGCGAGAAATTAAACAATGGAAATATTTTTATTTTCGTCCGTTGGATGCCTTTTTTAACTGATTTTAACTGTAAAAATGAGCTAAAAATTTCTATTAGTATTTGTACGGGGATTGCCAATAAYTTGCCACTACGGGACTTGCCTTTAATACTTCTACTAAAYACTGGCTCTACACCATACGCRATGAACTGATTYGTGAAATATTACTGAAATAGTTACTATTAGTTCTATTATTTTTGGAACCGATGCATTAAGTGCGTACTGTGCGTCATCCCACTTTTCCTCCACGTCGTTTCTCTCTCTCTCTCTCTCGGACATCACGAAACGACGTATTCTCCTTTCATTTCATTTCATTTCCTTTCATTTCATTTCAAACTACGCCTTCTTCCACTCAAGTAGAATATTTGTTCCAAACTGCCAACTCCAATTTGAAAATATTCTGACTTATTCGTATACAATTTCAGTCAGAAAAATGAAGTTGAAAAAGTGTACAGTGAGATTCAGCCCAACACAAAAAGACGTTATTTGACGTCCAACCAATGCAGCAGGTGTAGTAGYAATGGTATAGGGCCCAGTGGTATTGGCATTCCTACTAGTAATGGTAGTYAGGAAAAAATGATAACTTGTTTTGAAAGTTTAAATGTAAATGAGCAACTTGATGYGCTCGGCAAAAATACAAACAATAAGAGTAGTAGTACAGGCATGTTTKGTTCTCTGGAGTGACTACATTGATATCAAGTATTCAGTTCCGGAGGATGAGATAGAAGTCAGATCATGCTCGGTAGCTTACATGTTTGCTSRAGTTCTTTTCTCAGAGAGAGTATTGTTTTTCGGCTCATCGTTTTGTTAGATTTTCCACAGCTGTCAATTCTGCAAAGAACTTGGAATGTTTCGGGCCTTCCTCCATTGGCGTTACGTCGTTTGCTGCCGCGCAGACAACTTTTTCGAATAGAGTTACTTGACACGCCATAACTATGCGTCGAGGTTGTCCCAGTTGGAGCCGTTGGTTTTTGAGTCGAACAAAAAGAAGGGACGTGTAGATGAGGTATAAGCAGTGGACTTTCGGGCGGTAGGCTGACCAGACTTCCACATGATGGCAATGACGTAATGGTCTGGCTTCTAGTGCATTCAGTGTAAGTCTTTGGTTTTTCCTGTGATTGCTCGACACTTCCCCCGGYGACACAGTTCGGGAGGCCACTGCTCGTGCTCGTAGAAATATTGAGAACGTCATTGTTGCTCCTAGACGAGTCATTTGGTGTATTGGTTCTGAGTTTGGTCGAACTGATGATGGATTTGAAAACACTGAGTTTTAGAGACTCGACGTGTTGGGGTGACGACGAAATGCAAAGTTCGCTTTGCTGGAGCAAGAGGCATCGACTGCTTGCGGTGCGAATCATGAGCTTGTGGAGCTTTTCGAACTCCCGAGCCGAAGATTTAGCACCTTTTCCCTTTGTCCTTTTGTTCGTTCTTCTCTTCTTTAGATTTCTTCTTCTCTTTGGCGATGACTGGGGGTTGGAGAGTTGATGCGATTCTTGTGTGTTGGGCGAAGGCGTTCCGACGATTGAAGATACGTCGGAAAYCACGGATCTTTCTTGCCAACCAAAATCTACTTCTGGTGACATACTCTTTATCGATCCTTCTCCTATCTGGGCACACATAACGCTAGGATCAGCTGATCCATCATCAAGGTTCAGGGTGGTACATATAGAGTAGAAGGATGGAATAGTTTCATCATCCATTCTTTCATTTTCGTCAGAAAAGTAAACCGATGTGTTATCGGTTCCTGTCCTTTCATGTCTTGATAGTACTGTATCAGAGACAGAGAAAAGGTCATCTTGGAGAGGAGAGTCGACATCGAATATCGAAGACGGGGASTGTGGTCCAGATTTTGGACAATTTCTTTCCCCTTTCGACAAATCAAWYGGTATTGGCTCGTCGTCGCTTATATCGTGTATGCTAACTCGCCGAAAGGCGATTTCACGGACCGGAACATCGCCAAAGWRCAAWAGAGAATCATCTGGTGCAGTCACCGGTACTCTACGATCTTGGTTGTTCCTCATCATATTGCTTGGTTTCGAGGTGTGTGGCTTACGTGCTGTTAAATTCTAACAGAATAATTCTGTGTGAAGTGCGATCGATGGCCAAAAACTGAGAGTTTCTTGAGATTTGTGAGGATTGCAGGTATTTTTAAATACTACCATTATCATTAACTGTTGTTCTCTAGCACTACCACAGATTCCTCGTAMRTCATGGTGTGTCCTAAGTCCATCAATGTATGATTTTGCAACGTGTTCGTTATGTACCAGGGACTAGAATGATTTGACATGCCGATTTAAGTCGATTTAAGGGACGCTGCAATGCAAGACTCAACTCACCAAGATCACTCTAGAAATAGATATTTCATTCTCTTTCCTTAAAACTAAATCGTTTGATCGTGATATCTGCCAAGCTTAAGCTTCGCTTGTAGTGTAAAAATATTGCCGTTCCTACTCGTTCTAATTTTATTTTCTCTTTTTCTGGCACAATGTACGGTACCGTGCTACAGTATTACGCACGATTAATCTTTCTCATAAAGTCATCACAGTTCGTGTTTTGTTAAGATGACCTGGGAAGTATTGAGAAAATTGAAGTTAATGGTACTGGSATTACTTTATTAGTAGTATTATGTATTCACAGAGAAACGATGACAAGCAGATGTTAATTTTTTTTATTCTTGCTAGTAAAGATCTCCAGAACCGGGATGGTATTTACTGCAAGGTTCTGRAAAAAAATGCTACTYAWAGATTGTTAATTAACTTTATTCTTGCTAGCTATATCCGTGATGGGTATTTCCTGTATGTAAGGTTCTGAAAAAATGCTACTTACTGTATATAAGGTTCTGGAAAAAATGGTATTTACTGTACTGTAAGGTTCTGAAAAAAATGCTACTTAGCGAATCCCGGTTCACAATCGCGATGCATGAGTTTTTTTGAGAAAGAGAACAGATGTGAATATCGATCGCCAAGGCAGCATGAGAAGTTTTTTTTGAAAGAGAACCAGATTGTTGAATATCGCCAAGGCAATACTGTATCTCTTACTAGTAATAATTAAAAAAGAGAAAGAAAGAGAATATAACAAAAGCCTTATGTTGAACCTTGTTTCGAGGAGTGTACCGTACGAGAAACTGTGATATTTCAAACAAATTTACAGACCGAAGGCCAAGCGCCAGAGGGAAGAGTACGGTAGTGGTACTCGTACCATTTCSACTTGGTACTGAACTCCTAACTATTACCGTTAAAAGATGACACTTTGCCTTCATTTATGACCCCTGACGTACCGTATGGTAAGTACAGTATGCAGTATCTAATTATGCTGCGCTTCTGCCATACTACATGCGACTGAACCAAGTCCAAAACAGGGGTCCTTAATTTAGGACCCCTGGTCCAAACGTCATACCGTGTCATTATTTCAATTTTTTATGGTGTCACACATGAACACACATACAATTTTTATGCGTTGGATCAAACACGACCCGAACTTTGCTGTCGATACCTCGGCCTGACAACAACGACAGCCTCTCTCGTTTCAAAAGAAGGATTTGCTGACCAGCTACAGTACTCGTACGACTACGTAGTACCATACCCCGTACTTACCATAAGCCGAAAATTCGAGAGTCATTTTTTGCATCCAGCACGAGTAGTCGTCCCTACGAGTACCATCCCAAGGACGTACCATACATACACACGATTGAAAGACTTGCCAACAATCAATCGATCTAAACACCACCTGCCAACAAACTATAGACAGTAGACAGAAAGCACTTCGACCTGACCGTCACTTATTATTCGTACCAGATAAAACCGACGACAGAGGCTTGCATCGTTCCTGGCCCCTCAAGGATGAAGGTGAAAACGAAAMCACCACCCCTGCTGCGCAACGAAGACAAAAAGAAGTCCCCTGTCGTCACGAGGCGATCGTTTCCGKTTCCGATTACGTTTTTGGTCCTTCTGTTTCTCGTCTGGTTGTCCGCTACCGCTTTACAGTGCGCATCCGCATTCGAATGCCCGGGCTCCAGGACGCCGCCCCTGGTGATCAGGGGAAAGCGTTTCTACGACTCTTCCAGTGATGAATATTTCCCCATCAAAGGGATCGCCTATTATCCACGGCCAAACTCCGGCCCCCTCGCCCATGGGTCGTCCTCGGTGGATTTCTACACGGACGAATACTCGCAGCGGTGGAGGGCCGACATCTCGAACATGAAGGAGCTGGGGATCAACGCGGTTCGGATCTACGCCGTCGATCCCTCGAAGAACCACGATGCCTTCATGTGCGCCCTGTCCGAGGCAGGCATCTACGTGATGCTTGGCCTCCTGGCCGACTGCGAGGGCTGCGCGATCGGTGCCTGGGTCGGTGTCGAYGCGGAACCTCCGATGTGCTATCCGTCGTCGGTCAAGGAGCGGGGGAGGTTCGTCGTTCGGTCCTTTTCGAAATACCCCAACCTGATGGCCTTYTCGGCCGGCAACGAGGTCACCATCTACGCAGACGACGGTTCCGGTGGGCCCCGGGAAGCCAACATCTCCTGCCAGAAAAAGTTTCTGCGGGACATGCGCGAATACGTTTCCGGGTGCGCCGGTAGCTATCCGAATGCCGTTCTGCCCCGGGCGATTCCGATCGGAGTCGTGAACTGGGACGGGAATRCGGGAACYTTTTCCCAGAACGTGTACTACCAGTGTCGGACCGACCGGGGGGACCCCTTCGAAAACGCCGAATGGTTCGCCCTCAATTCCTACCGGCACTGCGACGGATTGGCCAACACACCCGACGAGATCATCGGGTGGCCCGACCTCCGCGAAACCTTTCGGGAGGCAAACTTTCCGGGCCCCGTCTTCTTTGGAGARTACGGCTGCCGGGAGCGGGGGTTTCCGACCCTGGACGGGTTCGACACCCAGCGCACCTGGTTGCAGACCGAGGCTCTCTACGACCCGGACTATTCCGACGTCTTTGCGGGTGGCTTTGTCTTTGAGTATTCCGCGGAAAAGACGACCATTGATGGCAACCTACAGTTCTGGGCCGACAAGTTGGATCTGGACGAGCCCGAGAGCGAGTGGCCCTACAAAAAATTCGCGAGGGCCAATTACGGAATCGGCTATTTCGGTCCCTCCGATTGCCARCACGACGACGGCGGCGACAGCGACAACAGCGACACCAGCAGTAACTGTGAGTACACGAGATATCCCGAGTGGGACCGACTGGCGGAAGCCCTCGCCACATCCGAGGGCCAAGGGATTCGACCACAGAGTGCAGGGGTCCTCCCCGAGTGTCCCACCCGATACCAGGCCCTCGCAGACTTTGATTGGCCAACCGACAGAGAAGAGGATCCCGACCTGGACTACTGCCTCGAGCTACAAAGAAATGCCGCCTCTACCGATTCTCCTACCGATTCGCCCACTGGTGGCGGCAACGGAGCTGCCCCCGAGACGGACGAACCCACGGGTGCCTTTGCCTTTCGCACGGATACCCCCTCGGCATTTCCTACCYCCGCTGTTTCCTTTGAATTTCGTACTCAATTTCCTACGCAGCTYYCCTCGGAATCGCGTTCCGRGGAGGGCACGCAGCAGCCAACGGAATCGCTTTCCGAGGAGGCCACACAGCAGCAAACGCAATCCGCGAGGTGCTCGRACCACGATCGATGCGCYKCCGCAAACCTGTCGGGATTCTGTTGCCCCACGAGCGACGGCGTCGTTTTGGGGTGCTGCGACRTCRTCTCCGAGGCTCCGTCGGCTGCMGGGCTTACWTTTGAATTCGCCGACGRCAGCGGTGCACGGACTCCGCCACTCGCTGTAGCAGTACTATTGGCAATSGGCACTTCGTTTGCCRCAATAATAACAATAATATAGCACTTGAGTTTTATTGYTATTAGAAGTACGATAGAGCCAAAACGCCATCGACAGGAGCAATATTGCACTAATGCAACGACCTTGTATTCCCTCCATTTTACTCAGCAAAAGGAATTTTAKTGATTTATAGTGATGCGGTGCAACACAAATTTTGACGTGAAAGATTTGAATCTGAGATATTCGTTTGGCGCCGAACAAACGAACTGCATGTAGTATTCAACATGACACCTARAACACCAGTTGTGTTCCGATTTGATTGTCATTTTCTGTCTTATTGAAACTAAAACACAAGGTAGCACGCAATCGCAAGCAACCCTTGCGCCGCTAGAACAATGCGTTCAATCCCTCCAGGCACCACCCCGGTTGCTATTGTATTTCAGGCCGGGAATGGGCTTGGYCGATTGAATCCTCGGTTCCTTGGTAGTTGTTATATAGCGACTAGTCGGAGCCTCCGAGGCCGAAGGGGAATCCGATGTGGAGGCCACTTGGTGGCAATAGCGCTGGCCACTCCGCACACAAGAATCYAAGCAGCCTTCGCTGCTCTTACCGCCATTCTTGCCGTTCTTTTGCAATTCGCAGTTGAGAACACACGATGTTTYGCAATCGCTGCTCCCGAGATCGTAGTTGAAATTGCTCTTTTTCGTTGCCGTGATTTCGTTCGTCTCAATGGACGTTGTTTCCGTTGCCGTTGCCGTTGCTGCTTTAGCTGGCAATGCCCCCCCGACACATGCCATCCATGCTAGCCCAGAAGCTGCCGTGGTCAGAATGTTTCTCCGACTGCTGATAGCGCACTCGGATTTCGGTATTGCAGCGCTCTGTGTTGCGGAGGAATCCWTGCCATRAAAATCTGATCGTATTCTGTTMTGCCCAAACTGCAGCGAGGTCACAYGAGACGGTGCGAAAAGGGCTGCCCAGAACGCGCAAAGCGCCGTCAGTGTCGTTATCCTAGCGGTATGATCTTGCATTTGTTGTTTCKTGTTCGTGTCGAAGTATGGCACAGTAGCGAATGTTGAAAAAGAATGTGGATAAGAATTCAGYATCGAAACACAATTGTTGACAAGTGCTAGTACGTAGTCAATTCTTTTGTTCTTATCAACAAATTATGATCACAGCATCCGATTGCCGACGAAGTGAATGAGGCAGCCGTGAGCGAGGAAGTTCATCTAGTGAATTTCAAAAGATTTCGAATTTTTACGAAGGATTTCATTTCTTTCTCACGCCCCATAAACCCCTGCCCCCCAAGATGGTACAAGTGAAACAATTTCTGCTACCAGTACGAGCAGAGGAAGAATCAAGAAACGCAAAACAAAAAAATTATTGATTGGTTTTCTGCTCTAGAAATTGGAAACACAGGAGTCATGGAGTAAGTAGCAACAGCAGCAATTACTAGCAATAGAAGCTCCTCTACTAGTACATCCACCAGTTCTTTTTGTTGTTCTTCTTGTTCTTGCTTGCTCCTCTCCCCTTTCCCCAGGAGGTCATGGCAGTGTAATAATCAAATTGTGTAACTACAAGCTGAAGATCTACGAATCATTTATWCTACTCCTCTCTTCCCATGTAATCCTCTGCTGATATCAGATCTGCTGCTGCTGTAATTTTTTGGGCACTGGTGAAAGCAAATATCTTTCATTAACGGACTTGCAAATTCAACKTCTTGGGGTATGATAAAGCTCAGGTTTGGCTTCGAAACCATGAACATGATTATGAGATTGACGGGAAAACAAACACCAYAAAAATGGTCGTACAMAATGTTGTCAAMCGACTTAACATAAAGGAGTTCCCTATAGCGAYTATTTTGTATGGGTAAATRGACGTGTATGATGAAACTTTTCATTCTTCTCTTCTGCGATTCMTTTCTCTCGTATCTCATGTAAMGACAASAACAATTACGTTCTAATGCCTTTCTGAAGCACAGAATCAACTGCAAATGCCCACAATAGCATCCTTCACTTCGGGTACGGCAACAATAATCGTTCCTGCCACGGCTGTCAGGGCCATTGCCATCGCGGCAAACGGGAATGCRTCGACCTCCGACACCATGCTCGAGACACCCAAACCTTGGGCGGCACTGCCAACGGCCAATCCACGCGTGATGGGATCTTGGATATTGGCAAAGTCCATCAATTTTCTTCCGTATTGAGCACCGATGATACCCGTCAAGACGACAACGACGACCGCAATGGAAATGTCTCCTCCCAGCATAGTGGTCACTGGGATAGCAAGGGCCGTCGTAATGTTTCGTGCCAGCATGGACAATCGGATCATCAGGGAGTTTCCGGAYGCGCCACCGAGACGAATCAACTTGGTAAAGGCGGCCGTTCCGAAGAGGGTTCCGAAACTCGAGACCAAGAACGCGGCGACGACAATCTTGAAGTTTTCGAGCATGAGCTTTTTGCGGCTGTACATGCTGACAGCGAAACTGACCACTGACGGTCCGAGACAAAACAGAAGGAGGTCACCGGCTCCGGCCGCGTTCCAGGCCAAGCTGCTGGTCTTGTAGCTTCGGACAGAGTCMGCAAAGCTTGCGGAACCGGTCGCGGCCCCATATGCGTACAGAAGTCCCCAAACCACAAAGGTCGACGTCAAGAGAGGATGGACGGCCTTGGTGATTGCGGGTGGCCCCCGGGCGCATCCGACGTAGCTCGCAAAGGTCGCGACAAAGAAGAAAGCGGCCTTCAGGGGCGATTCCCAGACGGCACCGGCCATGAATTTTTCCGTTAGCAAGCTACCGATTCCCGTTGCGATCGATGCCTTCATGAGAAAGGACATWGCCTCCGCGCTGAAGGGCTTGGCGGGTGGACCCGAAGCGACCGCGGCACTCTTCTTGGCGGCCTTTGCCGGCRCTGCGGGAGCGATCTTTCCATCCAATTTTCTCAARAACAAAACCGTGTAGGCGACCGTGTACAGGGTGTAAATAAATCCAAGACCCGTAACCAAGAGCACCTTGGCGACCTGTATTGTCGACAATCATGGTGAGAAACAAGTGTGAGAAAGGCTGCAGAGCAGAAAAAATTGGAACGCAAGGAACGAAAGCATCGTTTGCATTGAAACTCATTGACAGGATTCCATTCTACGCATTCTGATGTGCCATAACCCTTGCTCTTTTTTTGGGCGACGTACCTCCAGTCCGGATCCAACGCTGGGAGCCAGCGGAAGCATGGCCAGTCCCGGAACGAAAAAGACGGGGAGCCACTTGGTCAGAAGGGTRGTTCCCGGCGTMAGGTATTCGAAGATGGAGTTTCCGAGGCCCGGGACGACGGCGTCSGCCAGGACCAAAAAGGCAAAGAGGATCCCGCAGCCGCCGAGCTGGGCCGGGAAGTTGATGCCCGCGTCGACGAATATCTTGTTGACGATGCGCTCGATGACGGTCAGAACGACAGTGCCCGTGACGGCGGGATCCAGGATCGCCGGCTTGGGTGCGGCTTCGGTTTTTCCTCCCCTGGGGGTGGTTTCGACCACGGCAGCGGCGGTGGCATGCTGCTGCTGGTGTTGTCGTCGCTGTCGGAGCTGCGACGATTGGTAAATCGAGTGCTGCGGAAAGGATTCGGGGGTTCGGATGGCCGACGCAAGGGCCACCACCAGAAGCAAGAGGGCGACCAATGCTTTGGAGGAAGTTGATCTGGGCATTGTTGTTGTGTTTTTTTTKGTATTGTTGTCGTKTCGAAGGTTAGGCTGTTCCGTACAGAATCTATCGATCGAGTTTTACTAGTCCAATGACAAACAGTTTCTTGTGAAGCAGAAGTACAACCGTACGGTATGCATAGAGTGTCACAATGGAAGAAGCCACGAGATGGTGTCAGCGACAACGGATAGATGGGTTGATGGACGATGGACGATAGGCCGTGCCAACGCTGATGGGCTTTCGGCGGAGGCTTCTTGAAGCGKCCTCTGATTGGAGGAACGCCAGATCYGCTTTTTCTTTCCAAATGGATCGACGATCCATAAGTTTCGTGATRCACGCATGCTTTTGTGGTATGTGGATACGAAGGACGGGCTTGACACGATAGCCGGCRCCGGGTTCGTTCGATTGTGACCATCCACGTGGAATCCTTCGGTGATCTTAATTGTGAGCGCGATTGTGCGCTTTCGGAAACAGAACTACATAAACAGAATCGYAAACGTGTCACRTTTGGTCMATAAGTGGAAAAATGCTATTATGAAGGTGGTGCCATCAAATCTGATGTCATAMCCCTGAAATGTGATTGTCATTGGCCAAAACCATTCTTTTCCGCTTTGACTGTCTAAAAATATTCTTTTTATGACGTAAGAATAAAGGTATCTTTCGAACCAATCACCGTTCATTTTTTCAACACGACAGAGGAAGGTTCGTGTTACARAGCTAGACGTTCGTATGAATTAACGCACGCTAAGGACAATTATGACATGCGACTCGTACAGCTACGAGCAGTACTTTCGCAAGCTGTGTTTGTCGTAACGACAGTACCGTACCAATTAGCTCAATTCTGCTTTCAAGCACGGAAGAGCTACGTGTAAACTCATACTAGCTCTCGMATTTGGTACACCTTATTGCCGTGTGCTGTGATAGTTCTTCTTGTTTCTAATCTTAGCAACGTGCGACAAGAAGGAGAATTAGTATCTCCTTTGGGTTCAACATTCAACAACCATTTTTCCTTAGCTCCCGTACCGCCATACGTTCCACTATCGAAGTGAAAGTACAGSCAACATAGTATCCCAAGCTTGCTTTGATAATTGAATTGAAACGAACTGGAGACTGTAGTCGAGAACGAACGAGAGAGAACTTCGTCTACCAACATTCCAAACCCAACAAATTCCACTCGATTCTGTGGCAGATAGTGTACATTGTACGAGTACAAACAGTTTTTGCATAAAAAGAACGTGAATCGATGTCTGCTCCCGCTCCCGCTACTGTCAATGGCACCGCCGACGGTGAGGCACCCCAGCCCATGTTCCAAATGTCCAACCCCGTAAGTTCTGGTCTGTGACGATCCGAGTTGATCTTGGTCGAACGCAGCRCAGTCGATTTWTCKTTCAAGTGTCTCGGTGTTTGTTCTTTTTTTCCACGAGCGCCGGCCTCCTCACACYGCAAGCSCCTTGTTGCCCGATGGTTTTTCTTTTGTTTTTCAGGCCGCCACCACCAACGGGGACGGTGCCACGCCGTCCRTCGGTGGCGGGCTCGACATCGGGAACCTCGACCTAGAAGAGCTCTTTGTGGATTGCTATTACGACGTTCCCGGAATGGCMGACATGGCCAACGACCAGCACGCCAACGCACCGGCTCCGGCGGCACCGGTCCCCACCCCGGTCTCTGCCATGCACCCCGCCGTGGCCGGAGACCCCGCCGCATCGGCCGGCATGGTGGCTCCCCCGGCCCCTCCCGCTCCGCAGCCCGCGGCGGTCCCCTCGGCCGCGGCCCCCGCCGCCGAGTCGTCGAAAAAGCGGCCCGCCAGCGAGATCGCGGACGGCCCCTCCAGCGGGGGGCAGCTCACGGCCAAGCAAAAGCTCGAGCGCCGCGAGCGAAACCGCGAGCACGCCAAGCGCAGCCGCCTCCGAAAGAAGTTTCTGCTGGAGTCCCTCCAGGAACAAATCCACGGGCTGCAGGAGCAGCTGGACAAGTTCAAGAAGGCGATCCGGACCGAGCTTCCCGCGCCCCGAGCAGAAGAGGTCATCGATCAGATCTGYGGGCACGAGAACAAATACACGCCGCTGCCCATGCCGTCCGGCTTTGGCCCCGTCAAGACGCTCATGGAACCCGATTTCCGGCTCATGTCGGCCCTCTCGGGATCCCAGCAAAATTTTGCCATTTCCGACCCTACCCTTCCCGACAATCCGATCGTGTACGTCTCGCAGGGATTTTTGGACCTCACCGGGTACCAGCTGGACCAGGTTCTGGGAAGAAACTGCCGGTTCCTCCAGGGACCCGGTACCGACCAGTCGGCGGTCGATGTCATCCGAAAGGGCATCTCGGARGGCATCGATACCAGTGTGTGTCTGTTGAATTACAAGGCGGACGGAACGCCCTTCTGGAACCAGTTCTTTGTAGCGGCCCTGAGAGACGCCGAAAACAACGTCGTGAACTATGTTGGTGTTCAGTGCGAGGTCAGCAAGGCGGTTGTGGAGAAACACATGGGAAAGGAAAAGAAATARTCCGGCAGTAATTCATTTATTCGCAAAAAGTGGTGCCTCCCTCAGCTATCTGCATCGTCCTTCCGGAAAACAAACTACTGCGCAGGCTATCGCACTGGCACACATGGACTGTGGAGAGCAGCGTTAATYTTTGGAACCCTTGCGGGCTATGGCCATTCCATCATCGAATGCACGCATGAAAACATCTCATTGTGATTTTTGTAGCTGATAGAGATGGAATGGACAGGCAGAAGAGGAGWAATGAATGAACGGTCRAAAGGCGGCAAGGGATGCCCCAAAAGGAACGAATGAATGAATGCAAGCGAATTTCCATGCTGTAGGCTTGTCTAGAAAATGGAACTCGGAACCGAACACAAGCACCGGGCACGACGAGACGGAACAATAATGCGGTGCGAAACGAACGAACTAACCAATGGAAACAAACAAACAAACAAACAAACGAAGGGCGAGATGCTGCTCGGGGGAACACGTTGCACTGTCACAAAGATCAATCGGGAATTACGCGCAGCAGCCTCTGCGAAACTAATTGGATTTACACTCTTTTTGTTAATATAATATATATATATTTATGATGTGGTGACTGTCGCCGATTCTGTTTTTCTGGAACACGCCTAGTCGTAGGCCGGGGGAGACGCYTCCGCCGCCCGCTCCAGGGCCCCCTTGATCTCGGCCCTGCGCCGCTCGTGGTTCTGTGATTTTCCGAGGGCTACCAGGCCGCAGAGGTTGGCGTAGGGCTTGACCTCGGAGGGACGCAGGGCCCTGGGGGCCGCTACTTCCCCCGGTCCACCACCGGGCCTTGTTTCTCCCGACGCGTTGTACTTGGTCAGCCTCGCCATGCCGGGGACAAAGTCGGAATTCTCAAGGGTTTTGCGGTACGTGTAGCTCCAGCCGCCGCCGCTGCCGCTGCTGCTGCTTCGGTCTCTGCCCCCCAGAAAGGCATCGAGCCGGCAGAGGATCCCGCCGTGGGCCTCGAGGACGGCCTGGGACGCGCAGGTGTCCCACCGGCTGACCCCCCGGTCCTGGATGTAGGCGGCCCTCGCCCCCGCCTGYTCCGCCTCGAGGAGCATCAGGACCTTGTTCCCGGCCCCCCCGGARGGGGCCCGGGAACAGCCCAGCTCGCCCAGCAGGGCCTCCARGAAGGGGGAGATGCCCCCGTTGGAGGTCAGGAGGGAGGAGGCCCTTGTCTCGTCTCCGGGGCTGCYSTCCCTTCCGGCGAGCTCCGAGGCGCARTAGCCCTCGATGGGTGCGCCCGCGGCCCACGTTGGRCCCTTTTCCGACAGGGGCCGGTAGACGACGCCCGCCACCGGCCTGCCGGAAGAAGCGTCGGCAAAGCCGACGCAGATGGTGCACTGGTCGCCCTTCTTGGTCGAAAACTCGCGGGTCCCGTCGATCGGATCGACAAAGGCCACCAGGGAGGGGTGCAACACCCCCCCAGCGTCTCTTTCCGGTGGGAGGAGGGCCTCCCTGGCGCGGGAAACCCCCTCGATGGCCTGTTCGATGGCCTCCTCGAATTCCCCGGGCACCAAGAGGTCGTCGACCTTGTAGGGCTTCGAGGACAGATCGACGGKGCAGTCCTCTTCTCCCACCACGTCTCCGACGATCCGGGGCCTGGATGCCCCGGCCCTTTCGGATTCRCGTTCGCGTTCGCACCCCAGAAGGGTTTCCACCAGGAGGTGCTGGACGAGGCCGTCGGCAATCGTAAAGACCGAGTCGTCYKCCTTGGTCTTGGTCTTGCCGCCCCCGTTGTTCTTCCCCTGCTCGTGGTCCCTGCTGATGGACCGGTACAGGGCCTCTACCGCGGGGGTCACCGCCTCGCAGGCCGCCAGCGTCGCCCCGCACAGGGCCTCGAGGGAGGGCCCGGTGTGGCCGTCCCCGGTGTCGTTGTTGTTGCTCTCCGAAGGGATCGGCGCGAGTGCCTCCGGCGCGGAGTTTTCCTCTTCCATGCGTAAGACCGCCGGATTCCCGCTGTGCCAGATGCGTGACCGAGGGCCCGGAGCAGGGGACCACAACCGGGAACGATGGGGGCTTGCGGCTCTGCCCCGGGCGATCGGAGCAAGGGCGAGGGCGCCTTTGGTCCAGGGAGCGGAAGCGGCGGTTGCCGTGGCGGTTGCGGCAAGGGCCGCCGTCGTTGCCCGGGCGATGGAATGCCMAAAAAAGCGTCTCGGGGTTCCCGTTCGTTTTCGATACAGGGCCCGCGGCAGCAGCACCATGTCCTCTCGGGGATGGTTGCGGAGTGGCGTGGCGTGGCGTGGCGTGTGCTAGGACCCGAACAGAACCGCTTGTTGTGCGACGGCTGTACAGTATGGAAGTGCGGTACAGTACTCGTACTGGAATCGGCGACGGTCGCGAGATAGATGTTGGAAGATGGACGTGTACGGTACTGAATGTACCACAGAGGTATGTAGAAAACAGTAACAACATCAACAAACATGCCATCACGAATCGTGACGAATCACGAAACCAGCATCCGCTACGGGTATGTATGCATAGTACCATGATATAGTACTACACGTAGGTACCGTAACGTATTCATAAGACCGTGGGGACTTGGGACCCTGATTCTCGAATCGCTCGTGAATTAATTTCCCTCATACCGTACGTTGTGGCTGTGGCAAGGATCAGAGATTTCGGAAACTTCGTGCCGAGAAAAAAAAAAATTGGCGCGCATTTCGTTTCCCCGTGATGTTCGTACAGTGCAGTACAGTAGCTACGGCGGGTACAATACTGTACGCAGCGTGCCGATCGTTCCGGAGCATTGCAAGCACAGCACCTTGTGTTCCGTTCCACAACAATCAACGCAACGCAACGTACCGTACGGTACAGAATCATACGGTTCCGTTGCATGAAGCACATGTAGACTTGCAAAAAAAAAACACAACCAAAGCAAACGGAAGGAGCATCAATGCCAACGAAACGTTCGTAACTACGAGTACCCTTGTGGATCGCCTATCGATATACGTTGATGGATTGACCAGCCAAAAGGAGCCACAACCATGCACCACCACAAGAAACGAAAGCATCCCGACTATGGGGACAACAAAAGCACCAGCTACGGCAACGACCGGAGGGAACAACAATATAAGCAGCACCAGCAACAACAACAACAACAACAACAACAACACCAGCAGCACCATTGCGATTGCCATCACGAGCCACACCAGCAACCCAATGTACCTTATGTGGAGCACGTGGACGGAAGGCGTTTCTACAGCGATCGGTTTTACCTGAACGAGAACGATAGCGGGGGGACACGCCACAATAGCAACGAGAACAACAATAGCAACAACAACAACAACACCGGTGCCTGCGCCTGCGGGAGCGCCGGAGACCCGCCGGCCTTTCCCCTGGTGGACTTTGTCCAGCGGTCCCTGGACCTGTCGGCGGCCCTTCTGGGAACCTTTCGCGTCCACCCGGAGTGGTTCGTCGAGAGCTTTCCCTCCTTTGTGGGCGCGGGAGAAAGGGAGGACGGAAGCGGGGGGGGAARCRGGGGCGTCCCCACCCTGGTGCTCCACGGCCACAAGGGTTTGGAAAAGGCCCTCGGGGAGCGCCTGGAACGGCCGAGCCGCACCGATGCTTCCCTCGACGCCGGCTCCGGGGACGAGGGCAGCGCCRGYGGCAGCGGCTCTTCACCGAGCGAGCCGTCGCCGAGGGCCCGGTTCTTTCTTCCCTCCACGGCCTCGGCGACCGAGGCCGCCAGGTGCCTCCTCCGCAGCCCCCGCCTGGAGCTGTGTCGGGTGGACACCCGGTGGAATGCGAGGCGGTTCCGGCGGCCCGGGGAGGGCCCCGGACCGGCCGGGGTGTCCTCCGAGGACCGGCGGGAACGGGGAGGCAGCAACAGGAACAACAACAGCAACAACAGCAGCAACAACAACAGGAACAACGACCACCTCGAGCAACGCTTCGGAGTCCACCACCCAAAGTTCATGCTTCTGCTGGAAAAAGGATCGGGGGACCTGGTCGTTATCGTCACCACCTCCAACCTCACGCCACCGTCCGAATCAACCGTGGAGGGAACCTGGGTCCAGCGGTTTCGCCGCAGGAAACCAGGGCAGACCCCCGACCGAAACAACCACAATCTCCACAAAACCAACGACTTTGGACCGGTCCTGCAGGATTTTTTGGTGCGGCTCTCGGAGGCGATGGGAAGCGGTGTCGAAGACATTAACATTAATAGCAACAGCAACAGCAACAGCAACAGCAACAGCAACAGCAACAGCAACAGCAACAGCAACAGCAACAGCAACAAAAACAAAAACAAAAACAAAAACAAAGGAGGCTGTTCCTCGCGGCTCGAGGCCTTTTTGTGCAKGCACATCCCCGGCCTGGACTCTCTCTCGGAATTYGCCTCYGCCTTTTGCTTCGAGGCCGCGGGGGCCTTTCTGGTTCCCGTCGTCCCGGGCGACTGCCGGTACGATTCCGAGCAGGCCGCAAACGCCCTGGCYKCTGGAAAGCCACCCCCGGTTTGCTACGGCCGCCAGCGGGTCCGGTGCGTCCTGGACCACCTGGCGAAAGGGGCACCGAGGATCACCAAGAAGACGCAAGACCCGGCCAAGTCGGACCGSCTCCTCCTGCAGCCCACCAGCCTGGGGGGCGACTGGGACCGGTCCCAGTGGGCGAGCCTGGTCCGCGGGTACATGGGCTACGGCAACGGCAACGGCAACGGCGAGGGCCCGTGCGAGAACCCGTGCCACCGGGACGACTTTTGGGTGTCCGGCCAGGCGGACGTTCTCTGGCCGTCCGATCGCTTCGTGATCGGTGCCACCCGATCGGGGGGCAGCRGGTTTCGCGGGAAGAACGGGATCGGCGCGGGCACCCCGGTCGTGGGCAGAGGCCCGTCTGCTTGGGGACCTACGGGGCCGTCTTCCGCGGCCGTCGTCAGCCCGCTCCAGGAAAYAAGYTTCTCCACCCCCAAGAAGACCCATCCGAGTGCCCCCGGGGGRACCGAGCCAATGCCAGAGCCCGTTCCGGCRGTGGTGGCGTCCGCCCTCTTCAACTCCTCCCGGACCTTCAACTCGTGCGACCCCGAGTTCCTCTCGCGGCTGGCCCTCTACCGGGCCGCGCCCTCGGCCAACAGCGGTACCAACACGACCAGCGGATCGGCGGCGGTGCCCCACTTCAAGAGCGTCGCCCGCCTCTTCTCGAACCATTCCGCCATGCGCAGGCGGGGGGTCCCGCCATCGGATGCCTACTTTTCCTGGTTCCTCATGACCAGCGCGTGCCTCTCCCAGGGGGCCCAGGGGAGGGCCCTCGGAGGGGGGGAACCGCCTTYTTCCGGCGCGGTGGCCTACCGCAACTTCGAGCTCGGAGTCCTGTTCGTCAGCCACCTGCCCAAAACGAGCAGAAAGGGAGCCAACCGCAAGGGTTCCTCCGGGAGCAGGGGCCGCGTCTATTGCTTCCGCCCCCGTGTCTGCTCTTGCGGTGGTGCCTCCCGGGACGGCAACGGCGGGATCGACGACAACGAAAACAACGACAACAACCACAACAACGACGACAACCGCAGCGATGGGGCGGAACGGGCACCAACACTGGTGCAYCTGCCCGTTCCCTACGACGTCCGACGGGAGTCCTATTTCCAAACACGCATCGGCAGCGACGAGGAAGACGACGACGACACGGAGCTGGTGATGAAGGAAAATCCCTACTTTCACGAAATTCTGGACTCGAGCCGGTGTGTAGGGAACATGCTCCTGACTCCGTTCGGACAAGAAGAATATCAGAAGCAAATACTAGAATAGACAAACATGCCCGAAAACAGTCGGTGGAAACTCTGGGCTCAAAGATCGAGAAACGGGAACCCGTCGCGGTGTCGGACGCTAGCAACAAACGTAATAGAAATCCCGAACGCACGCRTGCACACACTGAACTCCCATGCATTGTAGTCCATGCGATTTYTATCGATTCGAAAAGTGCTGTGCTGTCTATTTTTATKTTGAGTTATARTGCCATGCAAATCATAGCAAGGATTGGATTGCTTTGGATGAATTGCATGAAAAATCAGTAGAGMACAGGGCCACACAAAGCCCTAGGCGGCCCGGGCCGGCARCGCCTCCCGCGCCCTGGAGAGGACGTCCTTGTTTCCCTCGGCGAACTGCAGCAGCCGTTTCTCCTCGTCCACGGCCTCCCCGTCGTCGTCCCCCTGCCCAAAGGCGATCGCCTCCAGCTCGTCCAGGAGGGCGTGCAGCAGTATGCTTTCCTGCAGCAWGTACTGGAGGGAGGGCCGCTGGCCCTTGCGCTGGATCTTGAGGCCGTACAGGTCGTCGAACTGGACCGAGACCATCCCCGTCCCGTCGCTGAAATACACCTCGAGGTACTCCTCGACCTCCTCGTTGGCATTCAGCAGCCAGGCTCCCTTGAAGGGGGTGTTTTGTTGGCTCACCAGAAACAGCTGCAGGTAGAATTTCAGGGGTTTGATCTTGATGACCCTGGCGGGGATGTCCATGATTTCCACGACCGGCTGGGGAGCGCTGCTCCCGGCGGATTCCGYATCGCCACCGCCCTCCTGCTTGGATTGCTGTCCGAAAAGATTCCCAAACAGGTTTTGGAGCTCCGTCGACGTCGATTTGGTYGCCACGGAACACCCCGGAAGGCTTCCGTKCGTTGGCAGAAAGGGCGACGACACAGAGTTCTTTCGCGGGGTTCCCGTCGGAAGGAAACCCTCGGACCGGGTCGAAAACAACAGCAGCACCGCCCACGAGCAAAGGAAGAATGATTGGATTCCGGGTGTGATCATCTTGGGGATTGGCAAAATGGTCTTTTTGTTTCTCGTTGATAATGTCGCCTACGTGCAGTATGCTCTGKTATTGKTTGGTGATGAACTATCGAAATAATGGAACCGGTAACGAAGTGGGGTTATCGATGCCTTGACACCAAAGAAGWCAAGGATGTGTTTCTGACCTTGTGCACGATCCACCTGATGAGTAAGGTGTGTTGCGTTTTTTGGTTGACTGATGGTTGTTTTCGGCTTACGCTACCGSTACATTCATGTACGTACCCTACTGTATCGTATTGAACTAATCGTTGCTATCGAACAGAGTCCGTAGTAGTTTTTAGTTTTTGACATCACTCGGTAGGAGTACGGTAGGAAAATCATACCGATTAACAGTTAAGGTGTCAGTGTGTCGTACGTCATACCTATTACACGTAAGGAAAGTACTGTACTACCATAAGGTTTGAGCAAGATGAGTAAGGATAAGGATACTCAGTCATCTACCGTGCGGTAGTGTCCTCGCTTTGTGAAATGCTGATAGGCTCCTTAGTGTACATGAATACGTGGTTTACATTAAAGAGTGAGGTTATTCACTAACTACTCGTGATTGTGGTGTCTGTACTACCTCACACCCCCCCACACTTGCAGAATCTAAAGAGTCGAAGTGGTCAATCGTGTCAACTTCCTCATGTTGTGATAGTAGGAGATCTACGAGAGGATTTAGATTGCTGCAAGTGGAGATTGTACGATGTATCGTTGGTACGGGGGTTCCATCCTCACTAACTGTGGCACTTTGTTCGCCAGAAAGAGGTGTGTCCGCACCATTCGTATCCGTACTATTCGAATTAGGGGTGTGTTGTTGTGTGTTTGAGAGTACCGAGTAGGTTGGTCGGATTCTACCCATAAATATATCTGTATGAGTGTAGAATTTCATCCGACCAGTGGGTTTGCTCAGTGAGTCACTATAGTTCTCATCAGATCTTGTTTTAATGAACTCAATAAATTCATCATCAGTCCATTGGAGGATAACAAAATGTTTCATTTCTACATGTCGTGTTCGTCGAGTTGGTTGTTGTGCATTAGCCATTCTAACAGCTCCATGGTTGTCTGCTAGAATAGGTGTGGGAGTGAGTAAGGGGAGCTGTAATTCCATCATTATCCATCTAAGATATAATGCTGCTTTGCCTGCATCTGCCATGTTGGTGAATTCCGCCTCAGTAGAGCTCTGGGCAATGGTTGGTTGAAGCCGTGTTCTATAATAGACTGCAGCTCCAGCAAGCATCATGATGATGCCGCCCATAGAGCGGCGTTGGAGTCTATCAGAGGCCCAGGTAGTATCGCAAGAACCATGTAATTGGAGAGGATTGGTGCTCTGATAGAATTTTGTGAGTTGAGCCTGGGGAGACAGAGGCTGTGGGAGAGGAGCCTGTGGGAGATCCATACAAGGATGTGGTCGCCAGTATGTGAGGCCCTCGTGTTTCGTGGCAAGGAGATAAGCAAACAAGTGGCGAATTGCTTCATAGTGAATCTTAGAGGGATTGTGTGAGTGTTGACTGAGAGTGATAACAGCAACAGAGATATCGATCCGGCATATAGTAAGGGCATAGATAAGTTCCCCAATACATTGTCGATAGCTAAAGCCCATGGTCTTTTCCAGACGTTTTGCATCAGATGGGTCTGTTGGGCCACAGTCCAGCTGGAGCTGTGTTAAGTATTTGGAGTCTTCGCGCATCGGTGTGGGGTGTTTACGGATTCTGTAGGCAGTATCATTTAGCCACCCGTGGTGTTCGCATATCTTTTCAATGTATTTAGCACAGTGAAGGTGATTGAAGTCTCTGGTCTGCTGGACATGTATACCATTGAATTTTCGGATAGTGCCCAGTACATTTAAGGGGTTAGTCATCCTTTGCTGAATAAGATCCCTGATGTTATCACATACATGCTCGTGTTTATTGGCTATAAGGAAATCATCCACTTGTCGGAGGATAAGAGTTATGCCAGTATCATCATGTTTGTAGTATAGACAAGGCTCATGTGTCGTTGGCTTGAAGCCAAGCTCTGTAATAAGTAGTTTTGAGATATACTTATCCCATAAGCGTGGGGCTTCGGGATGACCCTGGAGGGCTTTAAGTATGGGGATTACATAACCGTAAGGGATGGGGGGGCGTTGAAGGCATTCAGTCCACCATTGCTGGAATGGGTCATCAACACGCATGAAGAAGGGGCTCTTAGGAGCCGGAGCTTCAGCAAAAGCATTGCCTACATCATATCCGATGCATTTGAGGTTTAATGCAGCGGAAAGGGCCCAAGTGAGTCGATGAATGGGTTGTTCAACACATGATGCGTATGTTTCAGCAAGAGTGACAGCCTGTCCGTATCTTTTGCCACCGTTGCATGTGCCCCGAGATTTAGGCTCATCGATGCCTGTTAGGGGATTTTCTTTCTCTAGATAGGTCCAGACCCAGGGGAGTATTGTCATGTCCGAATGCGAGGCAATAGGATCTCCAAACATGCCCACTTTGTGGTATCGATTGAGCTGTTTCCATTCAGATTTAAGGAATCCGTCCCATTTAGCAGTGCCTTTAAGTGTGGAGCGTGTGAGTTTAGCTATCCGGACACGTTCATTGGCAATTTCAGGGGAGTCAATAGCCAGGGGCCATTGTGTTTTGTCCAACCATAGGTCCTGGTTAAAGTTGAGGGAGTGCAAGTGATGGGCAATTACATTGAGTTGGTCTGCTTGTAGGGTTGGGACGCCATCCCCACTCAAGGCGAAGCCAGTGAGTGATCCAAACGTGAATTTGATAGTAGGCTTGTGTGAGTCTCTCGCCCGTTTAATTATGCTGATTAAGTCGTCGTATGAATTGATTTGGTTGCCATCCACAGAAGTAATAATAGTGCCCCTAAGCCGTCGTTTCCAGTTACGTATATGAGCGTGAGCAATGGTACCAACTTGAAGTGCCGACACCTCCAGAGCTCCTGCGATATCGGGATGGGGAGCAACAATGAATCCCATGGTCGGATGGAATGCATTGGTGTTCTGGAGAGGAAGAGTATGAGAGGTTTCATTGAAATACATGTTAGTGGAGATATCCAGAGTCTCTAGTTCAGGAATAAGAGCAGCAATTTGTGGCCGTTCAAATTTGGTTCGATGTACGTGTGCGGTGAGTTTAGCAGCCGCAGCCGCAGTATAGCTGGGTGGAGAGTCCTGGATGATGTCCTTTATCAGGGTAGTTGGTGAGGTGGATTTGGGGTCTGTCAGTGTCATAGTGATGGTCTCGGGGTTGTTATTCGTAGTGTGGGCTTTGTGGTCGTCTTCGGTGAATACGCTCAGTAGGTGGGAAGCGGCTGGTGATCGAGCAAGGGGATCATCTCCGTATTGGAGTTCATCCTTAGAGTCATGTCAGGCTGTCTTGTCAGTGCCAGTATGGATGTCAAAGTATTTGATGTTGTCTGTTGTCTTGCCATAGCCCAGGAAGATGCCATCATAGGTCCAAGGGTGTGTGGTGGAGGGCCTTGTTCCTGGGCGCTTTGCGGTTATTTTTGCTCCAAACGTGATGAGGTTATCCATGAGAGGAATACGGCCAGTGTATGCTTGGATGGGAGTCATGTCGATAGCACTGTGGTAAGTTCTGTTGTATAGCCATGTTGCATGAAGAAGAGCATCGGTCCAGTATTCAGTGCCGAGGCCTGCTGCGTAGAGGAGGCACCGTATTCTTTCCTTGAGGGTCCGATGAGGCCGTTCCACTAATCCATTCTGGGAAGAGGAGTCAGCCGCCGTGGACACAGTGTCATAGCCATGTGAGGATACTGCTTGTTGAAAGCTGGCGGATTTGGAAAGCTCACCACCACCATCAGTCATTATGGTGCAGTCCAGATGGTCAGGGAGGAGGTTTAGCATATGTGAGTGATCGGTAGAGTCTACAGAATACTGGTGTTCCTTAGCCGCGTGAGCAAACGAGCGTGAGCGTGCTAGGTACCCATCCCGTGTGGTGGTGATAGCGAGTCGGGGGTTAGTGTGGCGTATGCCGTGTTTGCGCAAGAAAGAGTTTACAATCTGTATTGGTGGATCTTTGGATTTGAGGGGGAAAGTCCAAAGAGCTCTAGTGGCAGCATCGATTATGGTAAGAAAGCAAGTATGTCCCATTCTACTCTTTTTGAGAGTGGGCATGGGTTTAGCATTGGTCTTAAGGATCGCCATAAGATTCGGTGGGCCACTGACAAAAGATATATCCATATGAAAAGACTGTCCAGGGATGAATTTTTCAGTGGAGGGCTTCCTTTTGCCATGGTATTTGGTCATTTTGCTCTGTTCGCAAAACGGACAACGAAAATATGGTACAGAGGAAGGGAGTTTGGGTATTCCTTTGACGACGCGTTGTGTTTTAACGAGTGTGGAAGGGGACACGTGTCCATAGCGTTGATGCCAAAGCTCAAGGTTCTTGAGGGCAGTGGAGAGACCGGATGCACTCCCTTGTGTTGGGGTGGGGGATCCATTCGTTCTGATCGGTGCAGTTGCGGGTGCTGAGCCAGAAAGAGTACTTACTTGGTGGCGATAGTTACGCAATTCGCTAATTCTGTGTTCATCTTCATGCGGATTGGTGATGAGAGCCTTATTCGTAGTGTACCATTCCCCATTGTCGTTTCGTACTGTTTGGATAGACTGAACTGTGTCCCTATCGGTGTTTAGGAAGCGTACAGTTCCCTTATTAGTATCAGTGCCTTCTTGTTGAAATGCGTAGAATCCGTGTAGCTTGTAGTAGTTATCTGGGGATAGAACAGTCCCTGTTGAGTGTGGTGTGTAGAGTGTATGCCAACGCATGATAGTACCTTGGTCTGAGATAAGTTAGATGTAGCCTTCTCCGTAGGCCGACAGTACATTTTGTAGGGAGTCTGTGTTTGCGCTGAAAACCCCGACTTCTTCAGGGGTATTATACTGTATATAGTCATGAAGAAGTGAGTGGTTATCAGTTGCTGATATATTAGCGCCTGTGTCCGGCTGGAGTGGGAGAGTGACAGCATTGGAGTGCGACGGGGTTCGTACTGTTTGTAGCTGCTTGACCGTGGGCTGAGGGGAACCATCCAGCGTTAGGTGGAGATTGGCACGTGTGTTTTTGCGGTACATATGGGGAGTCATGCGTATGGATGGTCCAAAGGGCTGTTCAGAGGCAAGGGAGTCACCATAAAAACAGAACGGCGTAAGTCCATTAGTAGGCGTGAGGTCCGTTAGGTCCGGTAACGCAGTAGTAGAGTCAGTCGTAGTGTTTGTCATAGTGTTGATTAACAGAGGGGGAACTGGCCGTGACGTTGCAGTTCAGAGTGTGAGAAGCAGTACTGGTTTGTACGGTAGGCGTCGTGGAATGGTCGTGGTCAGGTTTTAATGGGAAAGGCCGTTCCCCGGTAGGATGACCATTTTCAGTACCGTGTTCTACGGAGCAGTCAGTAGAGGAAGTGGTGGGAACAGCAGTGCTGGGAGCTGTACTCACTTCATTCGTAGCTGTAGTTGTATCAAGGATAGTGTCCACAATGGTGAGTTTGTCGTCCTTGTTGCTGTTCGTGGGTGTAGGTATTTGAAATAGTTTAGTATCTGGGTGGGAGAGCATCGCAGGTGGGAATCCAAGGTACTTGATACAGCGTTGGCAGTCAGTGGTGGGCCGGACCCCGCTAGGCCGGACCCCGCTAGGAATCCGGCGTGTATCCTATTCGTCTTCCACTGTCGTATTAGACGGTGATTGTGTGAAAGGTGCGTCATCCGAGGCCAATGCAGTGACCCATTCCTCTCGTCCAGTCTCATGTTGTGATTTGGTGGAGATCGAGGTTCCCAGTTTTGCCTCAAATAGTTTGACAACTTTAGTCATATGCATTCGGAGGTGTTTGTCTGCGTTTTGACTGAATGCATCCGGATGGTTCTTCGCGTAGTGTTGTGCGTGATGCAGCTGTGCACCGAATCTACAGATTTGGTCTCCCACATCATGGCCGTATGTTTTGCAGCATTGGCATTGAACCTTGTTCTTATACTCAAATTTCTTCCTTGGCGTGTCAACCCTGTGTATTTGGGGATTTACTCGTTCAGTTTGATTGAGTGAGGGTGGGTTGCTCGGGTAATCGAGGACCATGGCAATCATAGATGCCAGTCGTAAGTGCGGGGGAGGTATAGCGGTGATCGGGTCAGGATTCATGCGTTTGAACGTGTTGAGCTCAAACATGAGATAATTGCCAGCTGCAAAGTTATAATTGTTCATTATTTGTGCAGCGAATTCAAAGCTTTGATCAAGTTCAGAGTAATTATGCTGACGTGAGAGCCTACTGTGTCTGATAAATTCGATAAGTTTGCCAGCGTATGATCCTGGTTCATCATCAGGAGACCAGGGAGGTCCCCATCCTGTGGCTGTCGGTCGGAGGTAGGAGAGGGAATTGCGGGCCATTGCAAACAAGGCTTTGTAGCCGTCCATGCGATGGCCTGATGGTGTAATAAGGCCTCTAAGTTTGGTAAGTGACACATCAATTGTTTGGGAGAGGCGTTGATATAGGAATGTACTAATCTTGCGAATGTTCTCTTCTGATTCATCATGATTTGGGGGAAGACAGCTGTGATGGATGTGGAGTTCGTCAATGTGGGTGAAAGGGAGGCTTTCGAGAGTGAAGATGCTGTATAGGTCATTGTAAATAGCATTGAATTCGGTTGATGTAAGGTATCGGTTGTCCTGAGGGAGAAGATTGGAGTTAATGTGCTTGTGTTCCAAAGCTCTGATGGCTTTGCTAATTCTGTGATTGCGAGCATGGGTGATATCATTGTCAATGCGATCCTGCCGTGCCTTGTAGTCATGAATACGTTGTGATCGGAACCGGCGACGAGTTGGATTCCTATCCTTTGTCCAGGGGGCATCCGGGTCTTCAATTGTATCTGAGTCTGTGTCCGAAGGAGGGTTTGGTCTGTGTCCCTTGTAATCCTCATGGTCTGAATCATGGTCCGAGTCATCGACAGGCTGTGAGTGAGACTGGGGTGTTGGCTTCTGGTTGAGATGATCGGAGCCATGGTCAGAGGCATGTATTGCCAGTCGAACATGTTGGAAGATCAGGTCTCTCAGGGTCACGGATTCCTCAATACATTTTGTCAGTGTTTGATCTATATTGGTGGTAAATCGAGTAGATTTAACGATAGAGGAGAGGGATTTAGTGAGGAGATCTTCGATGTTGGTTGCGACAGCGTCCGAGTTGAGGTGAGCTGTTACCACTCGTTCCACGGTATTCGTAGTTGCAGTTGCAGTCTCTTTGGATATCCGTGTAGTTAGGTCTGCATGTGTAGAGTGAAGTTGAGTCAGCATATTCTGTGTTGTTTGCTTGAGATGGTTCTTGGTTTGGTGTACTTCCGTTTTGAATTGATCTGACACAGCGTGTGCCTGGGTCTGTACTTCATGAAGAGCAGCAGTGCATATTTTATCCTTAATACTTTGAACAATGGGCTCCTGTTTTGGGGAGGCCAAGTCCTCAATGTTGTTTGCAATTATAGTTTGAATTTTGGTTTCAATATCCTGAAGGGTAGTATCCATCATTCTGATGTGTTGTGATGCTGTCGCAGCTGTGTGGGCCTCGATTTGTTGTCCCAGATTGGTTAGATCAGTCGTTTGTTTATTGACAATCTGCTCAATGAGTTGAGTTATTTCTGCGGGAGTTGGTGTTTTAGAGGTTATACTGCTGGCTTCGTCGATCGATGCGGAGAGGGCAATCGTGTGGGACTTAAGGCTTGAGAGAACAGTGGATGCCTTGCTTATGCGTTGATCCAGTGCCCAGGTTGTAGATGCCGCCGTAGAGAGGTCCTGTGATAGTGTTGTGGCAGTGGAAAGCTGTCGGGTGAGGTCTTGGTTTTGTGCCAGGGCCTGTTCAAGTTGTTGGGAAAGATGCCGGATAGTATCTCTGGCCTGAGTGAGATCGTTGTGGGCCTGTTCGATGTTTCGATCTTTGGTTGCGATTGCTGTTTGCATTGTTTTCACTGTGTTTTGGATTGAATGAAATTGAGTAGTCCATTCCTGTGAAGCGGCGGTCAGTTTAGCTTGCCAGGTTGATGAATTGCGGGAAACGGCTGTGTTGATTAGCTCAATGAGTTGGGGATCTGGTGGTGATGGTCTATCATCCGGAGTAGGGGAATCATGCTGTAGGCTGTTACGGAAGGTATCGAGGTGGTTGTCAATAGTTTCGAATTCCTTGTTACATGTATCAATAATACGGTCCACATCCGTTGGTTTGGTAGTAGCCTCAGTGTTGCCATTGTGATCTTCATCGATATTAGTATCGTGTGGGGCAGGGGAAAGATCTCCGTCCTGTGGGGATGTAGATGGGTCTCCATCCTGTGTGGATGAGGAGGGAGGCTGAGGAGTATTGACTTTCGTGGCATCGCGGTATTCAGCTGCAAATCGTTCGTGAAGATCGGTGGGGGGGTTTGGTAGTGAATTGCTGCTGGATGAGCTCAATTCACTGTCGGAGTTGGTGTCTGTAGTGCGAGTCGGTATCAACGAGCGTGGTAGGCGGCGTGGGGATTGAGATGGGGATATATCAGGGCTTGATTCCATGCGTTGGGGAGGTCTGGATTGTCTACGTTTGGTGATTGTTGCCGGAGGAGTATCCTGTTGAAGAGGGAGTAGGGAGTACATGTGGGCTAGTAGAGCTCGGCTGTACTGATATCGAGGGGTTTCATTAGGATTAGTAGGCGGTGGGCAATGAAAGTGGTTGTGGTGTAGGAGGGAGCCGAGGTCTTCTCTGAGCATGACAATTTTATCACTGTCCGGGAGTTCAGTGGTGTGTATATTGCGGATACTGTTGTTGTAGGCAGTAGTGTTGGGTGCTCGCATTGGTTTGAATGAAAAGAGCGGTCCATCATAGATTCGCGGTGTTGAATTGATAGGGAAGAGGAGTTCCAGAGTGCGGAGTTCACGTTGAATGTTCCCATCGAATACAGTTAACTCAAGTCGTCGTTGTCCCCTATGATTGATTTTTCGTGGGGAGGGGATAAGGTAGTCTCGTATGGGTTGAGAGGTCCTATTGCCCCGGTCCTTTTTGGATTGGTGTTGCGGAGTGCGTTTGGTTTTTGCCATGGTTGTTATTAGATAATAATGTGTGGATTGTGGCATCAACAGTGTAATGTTGGTTAGTGATTAGTAGTGGTGGAACCAGTGCAGCAGAAGGTTGGTGTCACTAGGGTTCCGAGGAGAAGGTTTTGTAGAAAGCTACGTGATTTAGTACCTGGTTCTCCTATCCTCCGGGAATTTTTGTTTCGCAAAATTCTTTTCCGGGGAAAGATCCAGATCGTAAAGCAGGTCATGCTCTGCAGATACTGGAAGGGGAGCAGTAAATCAGTCTGCTGTGTGGTCTGATGATGGTTAATGAGCTAGATGAGAAGAGGTAAGTCCTTCTTGTTGCTCATAACCTGTGAAATGCTGATAGGCTCCTTAGTGTACATGAATACGTGGTTTACATTAAAGAGTGAGGTTATTCACTAACTACTCGTGATTGTGGTGTCTGTACTACCTCACACGCTTAACTCATCCGGCGTAATGTTGTTTTTACTTCGAGATAGTTAGTTAGATCCACCTTCAAGTTTTCTTGTTGGAAAACGACTTCAAGAACCTTTTTCAAGCAGTAGCGTACCACAAAAGCCTCTAGTTGAGCAATGACATGGATGAACTGAAAAGGAATCAGTTTGATGAGCGATTAGTTGCATCTCAGTTTTTTGTTGTTGTGACCACTGTACTAGTAGTACTTGCAATCTTATGGAATTACAAGTCGATACGCAAAAACAGTATTTCCGTCGAAACTAGTCAATTCAGAAATTTTACGACACAAACCGTATACCACGAATGCAATGGGGAGTTCTTCGATCTAATTTACTACGAAACTCTTTCCTTAGGTGGCTTATTCTTATCGTACACCAAATATGTGCCCATTTCAAGATTTTAGATTTTCCGTGCTCAACGACTCTTGTCGTTGCGCCTGCAAGCACACTATTCRATGCCCCATGAATGATGCCTCATGGATGTTCTCTCTTCCTTTCCATCACTACTTATTCCGCCGRAATGTTGTGGTTTATTGTATGTGTGTAGAGATCGTGGTTCGGGCAAAAATGATATTCATCGACGTAGCCATCCAGTTCGTCGGAAGGATCGTTGGCATGCCGGTGGATGGCCCCCACCACTTTTCCGGCCTTGGGTGCGACGTAGACACCGGCGTACGGAAAATGCACGCCGCCTAGCTTTTGCTCTGGTTCGTCGCAAAAAAGGAAGAATTGCGCCACCTGGCGTTTAGGGCCCTTTTTGCTTCCTTTTTCTTCGACGACGAACCGTTTGCTAGAAGCCCGGACAGGCTCTCCGCCCGGAATCTTGCACTTTGGATGTTTTCCGGCATTTATTTCGTCATGTGCCCCGGCAACTTCCTCTGGACCSACGCAAAGCTGCGAGGGTGTTTGKAATCCATCCGAATCCTTGAAGAAGTCGAATAACGTATCACTAACAAATTCCAGCTCATCCCAATCCGGGAAAATAGTCTTGATGAGATCGTATATTTTGTAGAACTCTTCTAGCATTCTTTTGGACTCTTTTGATTCATTGGTTGCAATSWTGGTCGGAATTCCAATCTTGCCATCGGAAATTTCTTGTCGCRACGATTTCAAGATATTGCAGGTTCCTTCCGCAATGAAATCGTCCACGACAAMAATCTTGGAAGTGGGYAGCTCGTGGAGGGTTCTCACCGTGTAATCCTTGTTGGATTCGTCGTTGGAATCATAGTAGGACCATGTTGTGTTCATGATTTCTCTCGAGTCTGTTTTGTTCACGTCGCCACACTCAAACGGAACAAGATCTGCGACCATCTTCCGATGGATCTTGGACTGAAACGATCGCTCCTCTTTGTTGACAGCAATTTTTTGGGTCATTTCTTCCTGCATGCAATTTGTCAATAGCTCGATGGATCCGAGCGGATCGACGACGGCATCGGCTTTCTCCTTGCACCGCGAATACATTTCGTCCGCCTTCTGGTAAGCTTTTYGGCGCTCGTCGATGACGGTGAGTGTAAAGTCCTTATTGATGACGATCTTTTGTTCTTGTCGATTKCTGACGGTGTATCTGACCTTGCGACATTCATCAAAGATGCAAGCTTCGGTTTTTTTGCTGGGGAGTTCTCGGATTTCGAACGTATGACCCACGTACGAGCTAATGGATTTGTCGGCTCCGTAGGAACAGCCGACGCTGACCCCGTCCTCGACGAAYTGCGGAACGAATTTTTCGGGTTTCTCAAACATGTTCACCCAGTACAAGTCCACCTTTCGACCGGATTGATTCTCGATGTTGAGGCTKCGGGAGTTCGGGTTACTATTGCCTGAGCGGATTTTGCCCATCACTGCACCTGCATCGACTTCAATCACTGCGGCGACCAACACCAGGATCAGCAACATGGGTGTTGCCGACATCGATTCGTTTCTGGGGAAGCGCATGCTTGTACTACCAGTAGTTCTTGAGCAGTTGTTTTCTCAAAATATGGGTTGGGATGAGTTGAGTTGTGGTTCGAGAGCAGTTGGGATGTTTTAATGTCCCCTGGGTTTTTACTAGAATCAAGATAACTGTGCCAATAACTGTGCCAACATTTCTACACTACAGTAGCGGCACTTGCACGAGTACGATACAGAACTGTACATGTATCTACTGGTACGAGTTGCGCGATAGAATTTTTTTGAAATATGAACTCGTCGGCCTCGTTTTCATTTTCTTGGAATGACCGTTGCGTCACAAACGAAACCGGAGTTCAAATTCTTATTATTTATCATGCCTTGTGCGAAAAATTAACGTTCATAGTGCCATTACCAAAAAGAGGGGCGACTCACTGATTTCCTGAACGCTGAACGTTTGAAGAAGTTATTACCAATTTTTATTGTTTTCACCCCCTCAGAATCCCCATTTTCAACGACTAGAAAAATCTACTGTAGAACTTTCAGCAGTACTGTAATTTTTTGAAAGACTRCATGTTGAAAATCCAGAAGCAGAAAAACTATTTATCTCAACCTATCGATAAGATGTAGCATTCTATTATCTGGCTGCTTTGTTGTACAAAATCGCTATCATACGATGATTCGAACCCGTTTGTCGTTTTGGGTCCTCCGATCCCTCATGTCGTACTTTTTGCATTCCACGTACAGAATATTTTCGTACTGTCCCACCATGCCGAGCTTCGGCAGGCGCATCCGCCGCCACTTTCCTTCCTTGGAAWCATCCTCTTGTTCGTCCGGCCTCGACGAGAGAAGGATCTCTCGGGTCGTCTTCCCCGACCGGTAGCAGTTGTAGGGGTTTTCGTTGATCTCGAGGCCCTCCTTCTTCATGGCGTACACGATCCGGACGGCAATGTCGGGCCGCTCGGCCCGCCCRCACACGTACAGCAAGCCGTTGTAGGCGGCCARCATGTTCTTTCGGGTCGAGAGGCGGGTGCGGTTTTCGTACTGGTCGGTGGCTCTCCGGATGTGGGTCTTCCATCCGTCTAGGGCACCGGCAATGTCGTCGCCGTAGCAACGGAAAATGGCGTTWACCAACCGCCCGTCCGCGTGGATGCCGTTTTTGGTAGCGTTGTGAAAAATCTGTAGGCCGAGGGGAGTATTGGTTCCCTTTTCGTCCACACCATCGGAGCTCGGTGTATACCGGCTTTGTTCGTCCAGTGGGGCGTATTGTAGGGCGGAAGCGGCAACGCAATAGGTTTGGGCATTCTTGGAAGTCATGAGGTCCAGGATGCACACGACGGCTTCGGTACACGTCAGTCCATGGACGTGTCCCAGCAAAGTCTGAGGCCTTGTCCCGCCCTCGAATTCAGTCGGCATCACATTCAGCTTTGGGTTTTCCATCTTGGCTCCGTTGGCAAGTGCACCGAGAAGGTTGTTGAAGGCGCGATAGTTGGAAAAGAACTTTCGCCTGTCGCTATCGTTTTCCGGGAACATRAAGTCCTCGAAGATCTCGCAGGCCATGGAAGGATCGCCCAGCCGCCCGCAGGTGGTGATTGCGGCCCGGACCACCGATCGCGGGAGCCACGTCTTGTCCGACGGTGACCGACCGGCACGGGCGGAGGTCGCATCGGAGGCTTGCTCCAGGAGGTTTCGAACCTCACGACCGCTCCGGCATAGACGGATCATAGTGCTCTTGGTATAAACATCCGAACCGACCTTGTTTCGGGGGTTTTGCTGCTGGGCCTGSGCCATCATGATGGCAAACAGATTCTGCCCGTCACTGATCGCCTTCTCTTGAACCTCSCGATAAAACTTCGAATTCGAAACAACGTCGAGATCACTGCCAGCATCGCCGTTCGGTTGCCAGATTTTTTTGGAGTTTGTGGACGTCTTCTTTTTGGAGAATCCGATCTTTTTGACCGCAATATCCAGATTGGGGCCTTGTCGATCTCGTACCTCGTCCACCAACCGTGCGTACCCGTCCAGAAGAATGTTGTAATGCCGCCGTTCCGGGAACACAATGTTTGTAGCATTGGAAYATGAAGMGGTTTCTTCCCCCGAGTCGTCCCCGCTGTTGCTAACTTCCTTATTGTTGTCGATCTCAACGAGCATGTACCKGTTCCATAGTTCTCTYGCCGTACAAACGTCCCCGTTGCGCTGGACGAGGGTAATGAAAAACGCCGACATGGCGTTTTGAAAGGCGCGCTGCGCCTTGTTTTTRTTCTGTTTCCGTTGTTTCTCATCTGTGGCTTCGCCTTTGCGCGGTGGCTTGTGGTGATGGCGATCGACGGTGATCATCCAATCGTCKATAAGTTYAAACAACTCTTTCTTCCTGTGGGCTTGTAGCAAGGGTATCAGCAASAGATCGATGGTAAAACCATCGATATTAGTCATCTCGGTGGGTGCAGTGGCACCGTTAGCGGTGTTGTCGTGTGTATCCGAATGGATTTCATTGTCGAGAATTTCCAGTCGCTTCGCCCAGTCGTTGGTCACCATGAGGCGGGYGTTGTAAGTTCTGCTGTTGGGCTGAAGTGAAAGCCGGCGATCTTCCGGAAGCTCACCGCGTTTTACCAACAAGTCCTCCCAGAGCACATCGACCAGKGTTGCGTTTCCGAGCTTTGCTGCATTGCCCATGACCGTGTTGTACGATGTAATATCRGGGTCAACGAGGCCGGTTTCGTTGGATTTCATTCGAAGCAACGCCGCGGCGCTTGCTAGCCCGGAATCATAGGGATTGTTGGTGATCAACGCCCGGTCACAGAGAGAGGATAGATAACAATTCCAAGCGGTCAGCAAGGCCCGATCGAGCTTATCGTCGTCGATGCTTTCGTGTGTGTGGGTCTCGGATSCTGCTATCCTTGCTTCATTAACAAGCTGGATCARCTCCTTGATTTCTTCCACACCGGATCCGGCGTAAACGTTTCCGTTTTCTCCCGAGACCGCCGAKAGTGCACGAAGAGAGGTTGCAAGAGCGGTAATAGGGATGGGAGACAGAACATGGGTCACCTGGTTCATTGTCTCGGCACTGTTTGTTGTCTTTGCCAGCATGTCCTCGAGTATCAAACGGCAGGTCCGCCACAGCTGAGATTGSACGGCCCGGATTAGGTCCGTAATTTCTGCTACTGATTTTTGTTTGGCTTTTCTAGTCGCAGCGGTGTTGTTGTAAACGGTRTATTCTTCTTGGATGTGCGTGGTCACCTGCATCAGGACCGCAAGAAGGCCAAGGAATCGTTCCTGCACCGGCCGGGATTCTTGCAGGATCACATCCCGGATATCCCACGGGTCAAAGAGATCTAGGCTGGACGAAGAGGGTGACGGTGCCCTTAAAATTACCGAGGAGTACGACCTAGTGAGGGTCGGAAGWATGTCCGACTTGAGCTCTTCCGAGGGCCCCGAGCCCGGCTCGTTCTCGCTGCCCTCTCCAAAATAGAGTATCGAATCACGGGCTCGCAGGAGTTTGTTCTTGAGTWCTCGCCTTTCGCGTTCTCGCTGCTGCTGTTCTTTTCGGTCCCTGTATTTGTTGTTGTTGTKGTTGTTGTTGWYGACGCCGTTGTTTCCTTTGCCCCCTTTTTGCTGGCGCGATTCCGATCTCTTGCTGCTGCTGCTGCGGACGCTGACCTCAGCGTCCTGCAGTTGGGTCGAAAAAATATTCTTTGCGCCGATGCGATTTCGATTGTTTGCRACGACGACAAACCGCCTTCGGGAGGATGGCAGRTTTGAAAAAGAGTGAACGATTTGAACATCGTAAAAAGCCGACAGCGAGAACAAAGAGAAGACAACCGCAGCGACGGCAACAGCCGAAGATATTGATTTGTTCTTCGACATGCTTGGTAKTGTTCTTGCGAAAAACAAAGAAGTGTTGAAGCTATATCCTGCTTGYAGTCYGCATCGATCGTGTGTCTGTTTGTGTGGCAACGAAGATTCAATTGTATGAGGRGWTCACTGTGAGATATGTCCTTTTCGATTGTCGCACTTGATGCAGCGAAATACAGTATGGTATCGGTGTGAGTTTTTCGTTTTTCCAATCTATCCCAGAATGGAATCGCATCTCTTCAAAGCATTACTGCATCGTACGAGACCTACGGTCTACGGGTCGATAGTACGACGTGTCGTCCGTAGTTGTTGATGATCCTCGTTGATCTTAACTTTGTAGGATCATTTTTTGTCATTTTATTTTCAACATACTCGTAATCGTACCTTGTACGGTACTAAGAGGAAGTCTGACGTTTGTACGCACAATGTACGGTCCACGCCGTACTTACGYGATCAAAGTAAAATCTCAGTCCACGTGGAAGAAAAACTCCAGGGCAGTTTTTTTTTGGGGGGAAAGTGGAAAGGAACTCTATCTTACAGTACTACCGTAGTGTTGCGTCAAATTGCGTTGAGAGGGAATCGGAAGATGGTTTTTCAGTTCTCTTCAAAACTCGAAAGCAGTACGGTAAGGGGGGTACGTATCTAAGAAACACCAATTGATGCTAAATTAGCCTGATCTGGATGGATCGACTTGATTGGAGGTATCTCGGTGCTCTGTTCGTCCAGATGTCTTGTAGATCTTTGCGTTCGACACTGCAGTCGGTACCATCTAGCTCTATGGAATTAYCATTCCTAGATGGGACGGCTGAAAAACAGAATTTCACACACAAACTCTTGTTGCAGGGACATCCTGCGACGCGGCCACTCCGCTTTGACGATGACTCCCCGGTGCCGGAGCAGAATCTTCTGCGTGGAATCATTTGCCTCCCAGCTTGTTAGTTGTATCTCGCGTTGGGATCCCGGAACCAATCCGAATCAAAGGGCGTGGTGCGGATCACGAGGCTCTTCGCCTGCGAGTACTCCAGCAGCGCCTCGGTTCCGTTTTCCTTCCCGACGCCCGAGTCCCTCGTGAGGCCGCCCCAGGGAGARGCGGGAGCGTTCTTGTGGTGGTCGTTGATCCACACAATCCCGGCCCGCACTCTGTCGGCAACCGCGTGGGCCTGGACGAGATCGTGCGTCCAGATCGAACAACCGAGGCTAAAGGGGGAATCGTTTGCTAACCGAATCGCGTGTTCTTCGTTTTCGAAGGGCAGGATCCCCAGAATGGGCCCGAACAACTCTTTTTGGAAGAGGGGGCAGGTGTGGTGGAGGTCCGTGATCGTTTTCTCCCAATCTGCCCCCGGGACGGAATTGTCGTCTCGAAAYGCCAACAGAGTGGGCTCGTACCAGTTGCCCTCGTTCAGATGGGCTTCCGCTCCCCGGAATCCCCTGTAGCGCTTGCCACCGCAAAGCAGCTCTAGGGGATTATTCCTTTTCGAAGTGMAAGATTCYACGATCGAGTGAACCCTATCCATTTGTTGCTTRTGGATCATCGGGCCAAAGGTTGTTGTCATGGAATAGGGATCCCCCATGCCCTCTTTCAGGATCACGTTCTTGATTTTGTGKGTTAGTTTTTGGCAAACGATSGAATAAATTTCMCGCTGGACCAACAACCGGGTCCCAGCAATGCAGGTTTGCCCCGACGCAATAAACGCTCCAAACGCGCACCCGTTGACGATTGGATCCAGATAGGCATCCAGGAAGTCTGTCGCGCCGTCGGTCTCTTTCCCTTCTTTGGATGGCGATGCTTTCCTGGGGCGTTTYCGCCCGACCGTTTTGCTGCTGGTGCCAGAGGCCAACTCGCCGCGCGATCCCCCCTTGGGCGCAAAGACGATCATGGGTGCCTTGCCCCCGAGCTCCTGGGTCATCTTGCCAACGTTCCCCCCGGCCAGGGCCCCGATGGCGGCCCCCGCCTCCGGTCCACCCGTAAAGTCGACCTTGCGGATCCGCGGGTCCCCCACCAGGCCGGCCCCAACGCCCCTGCCCCCCAGGACGACGCTGAGGACGCCCCCGGGGAGGCCCGCGGMRGAGCASAGCAGCGCCAGCTCTACAACGCTCGCGGGTGCCTGCTCGCTTGGTTTCAGGACCACGCAGTTCCCGGCCGCCAGGGCCGGTGCGAGCTTCTTCACGGCGATCAGCAGCGGGTGGTTGAAGGGGGTGATCTGCGCCACGACCCCCAGCGGGACCCTCCGGACCAGGTTCAGGTGATCYCGTCCCCCAAAGACAGGGGCTGTTGTCGCGGTCCCGTCTCCCCCGGTCCGCAGCAGAGCGGCGTAGTACAAGAACCACTCGTGGAGCCGGGAGAGCTGGAAGCGCATTTCCTTTCGGGGACGGCCGATCTGATCGACCTCCAGGTCCGCCAGCCGGTCCGTATTKTCCTTGAGAAGGCGAGCGATTTCGGTCAGGACCTCGGCACGCCTGTGCGATTGGTGCGGATCCGGCCACCAGGCAGCAGCATCCAGTATCGAGGAGGAAACGGAAGAAGGATTGCTTTCGCCAGCGCAGCCGTATAGGCGCTCCTGAATCGCGACCGCCTGGCGAATGGCGTGCTCGAGCGCATCGCTCGAGGTCTCTTGGTAATAGAGGGAGGCCCTGTTCGTGGCCGGATTGATGACGGGATGAATTACTGTTTCCTTGTCTGCTTTGCCTCCCCGCTTGCCGTTGGTTTCTTCCGAATAGACAGAACTCGTTTCCTGCGAGTAGGTGTCATGCCATCCTGCAATGACATGGCGGTAAATCGGGGTACTAGTGGGCGATAGCTTTTTGTTGGGATTGCTCCTCTTCGTTTCGGAAGTCTCGTTCTTTGGCGCTCCTTTCTTGGGTGTTGTCTTCCTCGGTGTTGCTTTTGCTGGGGCTTTKGCAATGGCAGGAACTTTCTCGGCGACACCTATAGTCGCTGTTTTGGCCTTCGTTGCTGGTTTGATTCTGCCACTCTGTCTTGCCGATCGTCTAGTTCCGTTTGCTTCTTCTGGATTCGATAATCTCTGTTTCTTGGCCGCGCCCAGTTTCGAGGCTTCCTCGGCCGCTTCCTTCTCATCGTGCGARTTGCCGTCGTTGCTGCTTTTTCGGCCAAGCACCGGTTTCCGCGCTTTACAAGCACCGCACCGTCGYTTCTTTTCGTGGTTTTCGAGGGTGCACACCGGGCATGTCCAKGAAGAGGATTCTGCCATGGTTGGCAACGAGGATTTGGCACGACGGGTTTGCGACAACCTCTTTCCGATAGATGTCTTCCTTTCCCCTGTAGMAGTAGATGCGATGCCATCCGGTGTGCTTTTTCGGCCCTTCCGACTCACCAATCTTGCGATTTACTAGTGCGATACTACGTACTTCGTACTTTTTTCTTTGTTCGATTTGTTCGACCTCCGTGATGAAAAGTTTTAGTCGAACGAGTCATATAATTATAGTGACCCGAGATCAATTAATCACGAAAGGTTGTGAGTCCCTCACATCATCCATCAGTCGTCAAACAGAACTGAACGAAGGAAAAACTCATCTCTACTTCTCTTGATCCATACGAGTTACTCAAACTAACATTACCTATCGATGATTGTTCACAAGCCCCTCTCATACATCGAGCAGCGATCAGATAAGAGGTCACTAGGGAACTCGACCGCAACTTTACACAGCAAAGTAACCACGAGACACGAGACACGAGACACGAGACATACGACATAGTGAGATCGGATTCGAATGCCAAACAAGTTTGCTTCACTGCAGAAATTAGACGGGAACCAAAATACTTTGATTTTTCGGCACGTTACATAGAATYGGTAGACTATCATGCAACGGCGCTACCACCATTCCGAGAAGCAGCGTCGCAATCCGTCGYCTAGCGCAGCGYGGCCCCTAGTTTCGGGCATGCATATGCGCTGGTTGCTCATCGCAATAGCTGTATCCTCTCAGCCGAATGCGTTGGTAACGGATGCCTTTACTTYGATTGCCACTGCCCCAACGGTCCGCATCCCACGGAATGCGTATTTCCAAKGCCAGACCTSTTCCACTGCTTCCAACCCTCTGGGATGCACGACCACTCCGGAGGGCGAACCGGCAACAGAATCGCAAACGATTCGCGTTCGGGCGGCCGTCTATCAACCACCGCCACCGTCGAAAGCCAAAGTCACTGTARCGGGAGGGGGAGAAGAAACTAGCCCCGACACCAACCCGATCGGGATTCTCACCGAGGCCGCCGATGTCCTCCGGATGGCCTCCAATTGTGGTATCGACCTGGTGCAGTTCCCCGAGTTCTTTCTGAACGGGGGTAGGCCGGGAAGCGGATCGCTGCCCCCGCTTGATCGGGAATCGTCCACCCTCAGCGTGGTCGGAAACCTCTGCGCCGACCTAGGGGTTGCCTGCATCCTCGGATACGCGGAGCAAGAGCACGAGAGCGAGGGATYGGGTACCACCACGAGTGACAGGGTGTCTCTGCCGTGCTACTACAACTCCCTGGCCCTCTTTCACGCCGACGGCTCGAGGGCCGGAAATTACCGGTGCGTGACCCCGTCCCAAAAAAGRGACGGCGAAGGCACCCCTGGCACGGGCCATCCGGTGATCGAGGCCATACCGATCGACCTCCGCCTCCCCGACCGGTCCGGGGGAGCCGCACCGGTGCGAGAAATCAAGGTCGGTGCCATGTGCGGGGACGACGCCCTGGTCCCGGAGCTCGCGAGACACCTCACGCGTTCCGGGGCCCAGCTCCTGGCGGTCTCGGGATCGGCCCGGGAACCGGRAACCSGCGGCGAACCCATCGACRACCTCGTGGCYGAGCGTGTCCTTCCGACCCGATCGATCGAAAACGGCCTGCCCGTCCTGTTCTCGAACTRCTGCGGGAGCGGCGATTCGGAGGAGGAAGGCGAAGAATCCCCCGGCGCCGGGGGCRGGTCGGTCGTGGTCTCGGCCCGCGGGAGGGACCTCGTCCGCGCCCCCGCTRGTGTGCACGGGGACATGCCTTCCTCCGATGGCTATCTGCTGCCCTGCGGCGGAACCGGTGGGGGGGGAGCGGGGGGAGCGGCCCTGTACGCTGCCGATGTGGAAGTCCCCGAACGGGGAAGCAACCGCCAGCGCGATTCCTCCATCGAGGGATGGGACCTGTTGCCCCGGATCGAGGAGGGCCTGCTCGGATCCACCGCTGCCGCAGCGGGGAAACCACAAAACGACGACAAGCCTCCCATAACACCGGCCGCAAAGGGATTTGGGCGCGAAGTGATCGAAATGCTGGAGCAACAGCAAGGCAAAAAGAGAAAGCGACGGCGGCAGTCGAAACGAAAATAAATWGAAACACATGGAAACGAACCTCGTAAAGGTAAAACCAAAATTGAAGGTATTGAAAGAAAGAAAACACCGCATTGGGCGCTCAGGAAAATATTGGCAGAGTAGTTCATTATATGATAATCTGGAGCAGTTGTTGGCAACTACAGGAACGCTTCTCAAAATGAACAAGTGAAATGTAATTTGGCTCGGAAAACACCCTCCGAGAGGATAAACCCTGCTTTGTCTTAATCATTGAACATAGAGATTGTTGTTTCCAAATTCCAACCTAAAAGATTCCTATACTATTATCTTCACAACRTTATAACGAGCTACTGCGATAGCGAAAGGACTGCTCTTTTGTTCTTTCTTATTGTTCGGTTCATCCCCCGAACYATCTCCCTTGCTCTTGAAATCCTCGAGCACCTCTGCCGCAAAGATGTACCCAGCATCTTTGCAGAGATTTACTGTTGCTGCTTTCGCCAGAATGGGTWCCGATGCTGGTGTTTCGGTTCTTGTCGTTGCCGACTGGAGTTGTGACCKTGACCAAATCTGCGTGGTAGCATCGTGTTTTCCGCCAGCCGTCAAGAGATCTCCGTTGGGAAGAGACATTATGCAATGCACCTCGTCCTTGTGGCCAGCGAGGGAAAACAGCAGAGGATTGGATGAGAGCGGTCTGGGCGTTGCATCCGATAACACCGCCTCCATATCGATCGAGTGCACCGCTTGAGGACCCGCAGACGGAATCAAGGTCAATATTGGGATTGGGATGTTCGACGATGGGTTGGTGAGAGCGGTGAGCTGAATCTCCTTGGTCGATACCAGTAASTGTTTGGTTTCGGCCATATACTGTAGGTAGACGATAGAAGAACACGTCTCGGATGCGTTTTCGGACGATGCAAACTGTATGCGTCGTAGTTCCTGAATCCGGAGTGTGCTGTTGTTTTTGTTGTTTGAAATGTTAGCTTGWCTCCCGTTCGATCCCGGCTCCGACGTGGCTATTTTTTGCAGCGTAATCCCGCCCTGGGTGTCCCCTACAGCTAGGATAGAATCATSTCCTTGTTTCCATGATGCCAGTGCCGTAACAGGAGCCGGTGCGGTCAAAAAGAAATTTTTGACCCCTTGTGTTTTGCTGCCACCGTCGCTAAAGAAAACCTGAACCGTTTTCGACATGCCCGTCAGTGCATCGTTCATCTCTGCCTCGCTCCGCTCGATCTCTATGAGGCGCCTGCGGCCTGCTTCGTCTTGGGGCACGAGTCTCGGTCGGCGGGAGGCGGGCCAGGCGATCCGGAACCTAGCTGCTAGGCAGAGCGCGTCCGGACTGTTGGTAGGGATCCGCACCAAACCCGTCGGACTCGTATTGGGAAGCGGCGACGGGACCAGGCCCAACAGGGCATCCCCATCGCTGTCCCACACCCGAACGGTGCCCATTCCTGCCGTGCAAAAGGCAAACGGCGATGATGGCGAGTTGCTGTCGTCCAGAGCCAGGACGCTGTCGACTCCAGAAAAGAATTGGGAGCCACCGAATTGGCCCGGCTTGTGCACGATGTCACAGATTCGACGGCAGTGTTTCCACAATTGGACGTGRCCATCGTCCAAGGCACTCACCAGGGTTCCATCCTTCAATACGGCAAGGTCGTTTACGTAGGCGCGCTGAAGTTCCAGTCCCATCGTCATGACKGGGCGCCCGTGCAATCGGGGTGTYGACRGGCYCCCCGGCTCTTCCGCGTCGGCACCTGGTAGATCGCCTCGGGTCTGCTCCCGAAGAAGGGCGTCGATGCGCAGCTGGGAATATCCGTGCACCAATCGATCGTAGGCKCGGGATTCCGTGAATTCGCTGACAATCGTGGGGGGGGACGATTGCATGGGATCCCCGCTGCTGTTGCCATTGCCATCGCCGTTTGTATTCCCCGGGGGCTGCCGGTCCAGTGGCGGGACCTGAAGGGCTGGGATCATCGCCGCCACGCTTTCCATAGAGTTCATCCATTCCCTTTGCTCCGCTTCTTTCTTTTCGGATARTGACATGTCTTCGATAAATTTTGTTTTCTCCCTGTTGCTGTTGGATTCCAACACTTCGGCTGTTCCCATTAGCGTTAACYTCAATTCTATCCTTGTCGAATTATCAGTATTAATCGATGCTRCAATCGCAGACGCAAAATCAAAGTCGTCTTTKAGAATACCTTTCCACCATTTTATTGGGTTCTTGGTTTTTCCGGTTCCCGATGGAGTCGGTTTGGACTTGGTCTTTGCGACGACAATCTTTTGACGATCAACCGGAACCTTCGTGAGGGAGTGCACCCTGTCCTTGAATGATCTCCCCGTGAACGAGTTGGGTGTGGTCGGTACTTCGATCTCAAATTCGATGACCTCTTTCGACCACTTGAGGACTACTTGAACGACTTGGACCATCGTGATACTACAGAAGTTTGTGATCGACTGGAGCGATGCATCCAGCAGGGTCGATCGCACCGTGCGTACTCGTACTRTGGCACTCACTCGTGATGTGAGGTACGTACGATTAGATAAAAGAAAATACTGCTACGTGCTACGAGTAGGTACACTCGTACGTGAGACTGGTACAGTAAGGCAATTCGAACGAAAAAAATGGAATGTTCGATTGCCATCGATTGGATTTTGAAATTTGAAAATCCCGAAACGTTCAAGTCGGCGAAGCGAATACAGTACCTGGTACGTAGATCACCGAATCTCCTAAATCCACGACTAAAACTTTCTAAAGAACGACCTGATGAAACCTACGAATCACAGCACCGKTGGAACAAAGTATCTTTGGATCGATCGTCGTAACGACTTTCAGCGTTGTCGAGGAAGGAATTGCAACACCCAGGTYGGTTCTTGGAAGCCGGGAGGGCATGGTGGTGCTACATTCAAGAAAAAGAACCTTATGATGTACTTCTAGTTGTTTTTTCCTCGGATATGGCTTCGTTCGAGGGGCAAGAGAGAACCAAACAAGCAAGAATGGTGAGATGCAATTTGCTCTATKTATCTCGGTGCTTCTTTTGACGATATTCTTACAGTTGAATAYAAAGTTCAACAGAGCAATGGCATTCTTTGAAGTCCTTAGTGCGATCATTTTCTGCAGGTCCGTCTCCCATTTGGAAGAATAGTCTAGCCCCGAAGCTCGTTGCGATCGATACTCTCCAAGACAGTATGTGATAATCCAAATTRCAGTCTCATGATGATCAGAGGACTGCACAATCGCAACAGTTTCGATCCACTCTTCGGRGATTGTCGAACGCCTTTTTTCTATTTCGTCCCCAACGGTAGCAACAGCACGTCTTACATCCCTGCCACTCTGTGTGCTCCGTTGAAGGATTAAAAGAAMCRTAATTACGTGCTCGACAACGTATTTGATAACCAAACAGCAAGAGAAACTGATGATATTATGATAGACTGCGTACGACTTGATAGACGGTGTATGGCCACCCGGTCTTTTCGATTTCTTTGTCGGTTTAACGCATTTGCCCGTTTGTGGTTGTGGAAGCAGTCCATCCTAGAGATYGAATATAGTATCTGTTGTAAAAGAAGGGAGACATGATAWTTAATTWCATCATCGTTTTTATTTCGAACACKTAACCGCTGTTATATCACTAAAAGTACATTTGGACTCAACACTGTTTCTGCCTCATCTGATTAGTTCGTGCTTGATTTCTTGGAATACATTCGAAGTGGGAGAATAAAGTATGTTTTGCCTCGAGGTGAACTGAGGACAATAAACGATGGCCGTCAATCGCAAGATTCCGGACCTCAATCTTCGCTTCTTCTCTSCCTTTTATGTTCTACGTACGGGMCCCACTGAAACAGATCCAGGGTGCGTTTTCTTCGATTCTTTCCATTCCATATGATGCATCGAGACMTTGTTCGTTAACAAAAGACGGCCTGTCGAATGGCCAGCTGTTGGTTTCGAATTCTCCTGGTCCCGGCAAGTCTTCCTCCTTTTGCATTTCGGGCCTCGATCTGCTTGAGAATTCGTTCTTGTTGGGCGATAAAATCCGGTGTGAAATTCTTCATGAAAKCTGAATCCTCTTGGTTGCTCTTGGCTGTTCTATTGTTGGAGCTACTACTTTGGTTCATTTTGCTTTTTTTTCGTTGCGAGTTCTGTTGTTCTGGTTGCTGTTCTTTTTTATGGAGGGTAGGATGATGTTTTGTTCGTTTTATGAGAAAAAGAACAGCAATTCACTCCAGTATTGAATGCGAGAAAACGGTGCGCCGAAAATTAAGGCGAATTCTGACGCAAGACACTCGTGTCAAGTTTTTTGATGCGCCATCACGAGAAAATCTGCTGTTTGTTCGCAAAACCAGGAATTTCCAGAACTTAACCAAGTGGCAAAGCAAACAAGGATGACCGCTTGGCACTTCTAAAAAATTCGAACCTGGATGATACCGGTACTTCCATCCCACTGTAAAAAGCCGAAAGGAGCAATGTAGTCGAAGCGCGTTGAAGTTGTTCTCTGTGCAGTACAAACATACTAGTACATACCGGTACGTACTGTTAAGTTAGTGTGCGTATGTTGCCTTTATGTGAGCACGATTGGAATTTGGAATAAGGTGACGATGTCTCACTAAAAACAAAAACTGTCCCAAGGAAGTTCTAAGCGATGAGAGGGAGACTTTTTGAGTTTTGAGGCCTGCCATATTATGTATGAGGGTACTTTCGGAATATATGTATGTATGTATGTTACTCTCTATTCTCAGTTGGGCTGAAAATGAACCTAGAGTCTGCGGCACTACGAGTATGTATCCACAAGGATTCCCTTGGCGGATTGCAATCCTAGGCTTTCCTCTACGGTACCGACGACCCCTTTCCTCTGCTAGCGTGGGTATATTTGTCTTCCTTTGCAACCTAAATATGATAGTATCGAGTACACCCATGTCATCCTGCCTTGTTATACTATGACTCTTTGCTTGCTGAAAGAAAAGTATGAGCTAAAAGTCGGGAAAGCCCACTCGGTTCTGATAGGATTACTAGTAATAGTAATAGTAATAGTAATAGTAATAGTAATAGTAATAGTAATAGTAATAGTAATAGTAATAGTAATAGTAATAGTAATAGTTGGTAGCAGCAAGAATGCGTTCCAAAATTTCATGTTTTCACTAGTGAAAGATTTTTGAACTATTTATTCTGCGCGGGGTTTTCGTCGTCGCTGTCCATCAGAATTTCAAYCGTTTCTGTTGGTTTCTTTGAGTTTAGAGACTGCGCTTCGCCATCTCGTTGGYTGCTGTCTTCACTGTCCGTCAGTAGCTCAATCGCTTCATCAGGATCTTCATTATTCACAGATTTCTGTTTTTCATTGATTTGTAGGTCAACCGTAGCCGCYGACTTCTTTTCACTTACGGATTGTGCGTCAACGCCATAATTATTGTCGTCATCGCTATCCACCAAAAGTTCAATAGTTGCTGTCGGGGGCTTTCGATAATCCACGTGCTTTGCTTTGCAATTATTCTCGTTGTCGTCGTCGCTGTCTACCAGTAGTTCAACTGTGTTTACTGACATCTTTCGGTTATTGTCACTATTGCTKTTCTCGTCTTCGCTGTCTGGTAGTAGTTCAATAGCTTCGTCCTTGTTGCCTCTACCTTTTGATCTCGGTATTGCGGGTGAGGCAGTTACAAACGTTCCTGYGATAGTTCTAGATCGCTTCGATGCAGACAACAATTTTTTACGCTGCTCTTCGAGTTGATTAAACACTGACCAATATTCGGAGATCAAAGCCTCCAATCCTGCAACATCCTCTTTTAGCCATTGGAAAAGTTGCGTTTGTATCGATCGCTTCTTAATTCGAAAATGTTGCTGTATCACTTCTTTGAATTCGGAAAAGTAGTGATTGGGTGGAAACGACGCATTGCAAAAGCTCTTTCGTTTGTGGTTGCCTCTGATCGAGGCGTTTGCTCTCGGAACTGGGGCAGCTTTGCAGTCGTTCATCCCCGAACATTCATTAACGTTACCKCCAAGCTGGTTGTACAGAAAGGGAAGCATGGCCACCTTTAAAGTCTGCTGTCTGATCATAACGTTGTAAGCCTTTGTATTACGGTCTCCTGAARGTGTCCCTTCCATACGCTCGTAGCCCGGTTCGTTAAAGAATGGATTAGCGGTGCCAAGAATGAGGCTTTGTAGAGACACAAGTACCTGTAGGAGGGTTGATTCCTTGGGCGTCCAGCTGGGGCCCGTCCATGTCCCAAGTAGGCTCATGCACACCTTCCCATCGGCGTATAAGTTGGGGTTGAAACGAACCCGCTTGTTGCCACAAGCTGTTGGTAGAAACGAAGTAGTTGTCAAAAACTGAACCTTGGGCGGTTTGTTCGGATAATCGTCTCCCATGATTACGTCAAAGAAAAAGCACCCGTTCGCATAAGGGGTATCTTCCGGGCCGATGATTAGAACTCGAAGCTTGTCCAGCTCAGTCTCTAATGCTCGAACAAAAATGGARCTCCCATACTCAACAGGTAGTGCGGTTGGATAGGCAGAAAGTTCTTTCCATAAGATTGCCGCAGACGATTGGCTTTTGGAGGGGCTTGATSCTTTGCTGTTTGGCAACCTACTCTGTCGGTATCTCTTGCATCCACCCCCGGGAGCATAATAGTGCTTGGGATTTTCAAAGGAAGATCCCTCGACCATGGAGAACGCTAAAGGGCGCATTTTCTGGCGGTAGTAATCGTGGGTTCCCACCATGCTGCATTCGGGTTGTTCAATGAATTTTTTACTAGCAGCCATGGCTTCTTCTTTCAATTGCAGGACAGCTTTTGGAAGCAACATGTCCTTCACCGTAAATTTATGCTTGACACTTCGTTTCTTTGATGTCTGATCTCGTATCCAGTTGTACGCGTTTATGCTTCCGTTGTCGTGTGTGTTGTTTTCGTATTTTTTCGTTGATAGTGTTTTGCTTTCGGAACTATGACCTTTGGCTGACGATACAGATGCATCGGATGCAGATGCAGTCGACGATGCCACCAAGATCTTCGACATTTCTGCGAGTTCTTCTAGGGCGCCGATTGCCGATTCTGTGTCGTCGGGATCACCCCAGTCCTGTGGATACTGCTCGGTCAAAACGATGGATACCTTGATRGCCAGAAGGTACATTTTTTGTTGCAATCCTTTCCACCACCAATCCGGAGCCTGGCACCGCAATACTTTTTTCAGCGTGTTCAAAACAGATCTGTCTATAGAGGCATTGGTTCTTGAATCACGATGTTGCGCCAAAAATTTCTCCAGCTCGTTGTGCCATTCCGTCCAGGTTCCGTTTTCGCGTTTGCGAGCTTCTTTCTTCCCCTTGTTGCGTTTTTGCTTGTCGCTCGCACTTCCACCGAATCCAGAACCGGAGGTTTTGTTCATCTCCGCAATTTTCTGAATCCTCCTCCACTTCTACTTCTTCTTCCGCTTGGAAATTGTACCGATATAACCCGGGGTTGTTGTTCCCAATTTCGAAGAAAAGGTGGCAATAAGGGCGGTTGTTGGCGTTTGATTCTTGCTTGTGTCATAAACGCCGCAAGATTTTGCTTTAGATTCGCGGTAACCCAGGATTAGTCGGATGCAACGGAGTTGCACACGCTCGCAGCTGTACCAGACGTAGGTAATCGTACGGGTTTGAAACAAGAATTGGCTCGCTAACGCAACTACTACAATACAGTACTGTAGTTTCTACGGTGCAAAAACTAAGTTAGTGCCAGGAAGGTGCCAGGAAGGTGCCAGGAAGGTGCCAGGAAGGTGCCAGGAAGGTGGGGAAGCTATGCTCTGAAAAGAATGTAGTACAAAAGCTATTCAATGAAAGCACTGTGGCTTTTTGTTGTTTCTGAAATTTCTGAAATAGGAATGGAAATCCTCATTGATTTGTTGCATGTGTATCCTGGGTAGTACTATAGCACAACATAGTAGTAGTACTACACTACTAGTACTACTAGTAAATCCAATTGCTTGTGTGGTAGTAGTAAGACCGAGTTGCTGGTGAAACAAACCAACAACACACTCCTCCTGTACTACTACTAATTTGTGAACAAGAGTTCTTCTTGTACTAGCAATATTGATTGGGAATTGAGTTAAAAATATTCCCCTGTGAATTTTTTGAGTTTGATTGGTACTAGTAATTCTTGATTCATCTTCTTGTGGACATCAAGATTTTCTTGCTGGTGCTGCTGCTGCAGTGATTACTAAAGAAGGAGTTCTTAAAGTGATCACTTTTTTTGTCTCCTTCTTCAAGGACAAGCACCTCCATCCATTCAACTTTCTCAGCATCTTCACATCAAATATAAAATCCATCATGTTCATAATTTCACAATCTTGGTATTCATTTTTCAGTTAGATTTGAATGTACACATGGATTCATTTGCTTTTGACTTTTCAACATCCTGTATGTTGTCATTGATCATGAGGACAGGTCTACCAGCCTACAAGTTAAGCATTGGATCTATCCTTTTGGAAGATATGTTTGGACCTGCAACAATGTCAACATCTGATGTGGCAGTTAGCAAACMGTATTTCTRAAATTCTGGCATGTMTCTGTATTTTCTTTTTTGTCTGTCTGCAGTTTCAGATTTGAGGGCTTCTTCGTGATTACAATGGTCTGATCTGGTAATCTCTTGTTAATATTTTTTTGAATGCATTGTTTTGAGAAACTCAGAAAACATGCCATCATTTATTACACATTTCTTGTCTGCAATGATGTATTTTGCATGAGCAATATCTTCTTGGAGTATGTCCCAAGGTTTTGCAATTCTTGAATTGATGATTTAAACATACTCTTCTTTCAAGCCAAGCTCTCCCAAGACTGGGTCATCTTTAAACCTGTGGTTTGTTTTAAGTTCAACAAATGTGTTGGATTTTCTATCTTTTTTTGACAAYACTACTAGGGAGTCTCCTCCCACTGGTTTGAGTTGATTGAAATTTCTRMAGAGACAATTGGAAGTAGATTGCCATACAAATGATATGATGACTTGTCACACAATAAGTTCAGATACTCATTCAATGTTTCAATTTGTTTGATGCTAGCAAATGGTATCTTGTCAACAATAAGTAGTAGGCAAGTCTCATTTTGCCAGCATGCACCATCCTGGTGAGTAATATTGGATCTGTTACAATAAAGATGGCAAGATTTATGTGTTGTTTCCCCACTGATATTAACTGCTRCTGTTCCAATCATGCCTGTGACAGCCATAGTGATGTCAAACAGAATGACTTGCTTTTAATATCCCAGTACCACCAGCCCCTGATGAAAAACAGATGAACTCTCTGTTGTTGTTCATGGTTGCCTTGAGATCTTCTATGCATTTGTTGTGGTGATTACCAATTAATCTTTTTTCTTGATTGTTCAGGCAAATGTAAAGATATTTTACAAAGTGTCAAAACAAAAAGCAGCAACAATCTGGCAAAATGAATTTTCTGCTGTAGCAATCTTGGGCATTTTTCAGCAGTTTTTTGTGACTCAGTTTCAGTTTCCCACTTTTTAGAATTTCCCTGAATTTTGGTAAATATTTTGAATCCATCTGGAGTTCTTTTTTTGCATTCCTGAATGGAAAAGATAGAATCATTGCTGTTTTAGCATATTTTTCCATTGCCAACAACAAGCAGTGATTAGTATCTTTTAGATTATTGATGTTACCATCAATGGGGATGCCTCAAAAGCTTTCACTGTTTGGAAACTCAAAAAAAATAACCAATGGAATTGCTCGCAGTGTCTCACATTTGGAAATTTTCAAGTGATTTTTTGCAGGGTGTAGAGTTGACCAATCCATTCTTTCTTTTTTCTTCTTTGCTTTGATTCCTTTTGTTGTGGTGAAGCTAGTAGAGAAAAAACAAGTAACAGAAACATCTTCAAGTTTGCCTGGCCTGTACAAATAATGTACAACATGAGATTTAAGAAATGCAATGCGTTTGTTTTGAACTTTATTGGAATCCAAAGCAAAGTCCTCAATTGTTTTTCTCAAAACAACCAAGACCAAGAAATTCAAATTCATGAGAAAAATGGAAGTGAGACCCATTATTTCAAAGGAGATGGCTTGCCATGGGACCAGAAAAAATGTTTGACTTTGTGCTTAAAGTAACAACTCCCATCAAAGCATGAAATCCTTGTTTGCACAATGCAACATTGTACTCACTGTCTTCCCCACTATTGTAAACTTGTCAAAGTCTATTTGACAAATGTATTGTTTCCCTGCACTAGCATAGACTTCAGTGTCTTCTTTGTTGATTGACTTTGAATTTACTAGGTCATAAACATTGTTGAACCACCAGAACAATTTGCAACAGTGTTTGGTGAATTGRGTTGAAAACAGAACTTGCAAGTTTATTGTATCGTATAGGCTTGGCCAGCCAATGTACGGTTTAAACCTTGGATTCGTGGTCATCTTTTTTCGTGTAATGACTACTTTGACTAAAAATTACTACCTCCGTTCCAAAATACTGGTGCAGTTTGCACCTCTTTGGTCGAAATAAGCTCAATATTTGGCCATTTTGACTGCTTCTTTTTTGATGATGTGTTATGCCATATAATGACGTACCGCTAGCAATGAAGGAATAAGCCTTCAAAAAGGCTTATTTTTTCTTATCAATATGAAAATACCGTCAGTTGGGTTCTACTGGTCACTTAATGACCGGACCAGTTTCTAGAGAAAGCCAAGAGTGACACATTTTTGAGGGTGTAATTCTCTTCAGTGTCGAGAACATTCTTGCAACTGCCATTCTTGTTCAAAAGAGGTGCACCGTACTGGTCGTCATTTAGATGTTTCACGTGTTACTACTGTTTATTTCATGTGCAAAAATAATTTTTATCTACAGTACTGATTCTACGTGTCTTACGTAAATACTGTACCATTATTTTGGAAAAAATGAAGTAGGGCAAACTGTACCAGTATTTTGGAACGGAGGTAGTATATCGTATAGCGTTGGCCAGCAGATGTACGATAATATCGGGGATTTTTGGCCATCTTTTCCACGTGTAAAATATGTCGAGCGCGCCGACTGACATCACGAAATCTTGTCGGAACACACCATTTTTTCTTTAGAAATTTTGTCATGATGTCCGTTGGAGTGCTTGAAATAAATTCTCGATGAACATATTTACCTACAATAACATCCAATGCTGCACCTCCAATCATGTTGCACCAACACTGATCCTTCATGGTGATGCTGATGGCAGCAAGGCAACTCGTTGTCCATTATTGGACACAGAGGAGTCCTCACAACTACGTTCTGATGCTACCATAATTCCAGTGAGAGCGCTTCTCATTCCGACAACCGACATCCGCTTGCCCCCCCTCCACCAACACTATCAGCATCAATATTAAGCAACAGTATCTCTCCAGCAGCAACATTATCAGCAACACTATCAATCCAAGGAAGCTTCCAACGCGTCAACGCTATCAACGAATCGACGATATCAGCATCCTCCATATCAGCGACTCGTATCAGCATCCTCCGTATCAGCATCCTCCGTATCAGCAACGCTACGTATCAACAACAGTATCACCAGTAAAAGTATCAGCAACGCCATTGATCCAAGGAAGCTTCCAACGCGTCGACGCTATCAGCAGCAACGAATCGACGATAACAACGAATCGACGATATCAGCATCCTCCTCTGTATCGACGATATCAGCAAACTCCTCCGTATCAGTATCTTTCATATCAGCAAACTCCTCCGTATCAGCATCCTTCGTATCAGCATCCTCCGTATCAGCATCCTCCGTATCAGTATCAACAACAGTATCACCAGTAAAGACGCTATCAACGAATCGATGCCACTCAACAATATAACCAACCGACGTTCATCAAGAACAAGGACAACACGACAACAGTTGGGGTTGGGGTTNATATACTTACCACCATGCAGTCTTCATGTTTCCTCTCATGTTCATATGCAAAGAATTTATTGTGTTTTTGTTGCCATTCCAGTCATACTAATCAGAACATATATCTTCAAGTAGTATATTTGATTCAATGCAACCTTTGTTTTAAAGTTTCATTCTGTACTCTTTTCTTTGGTTTTTGAAACATGGTTTCGCATGGTTTCATTTATGAAAATAATGCAAAAAGCTATAACCAGGAAAGATGATCTCTTGTACTGTTCTGACTTAAATTGAATTTYCCCCCTTTTATTTCCTCAATGCATTCCTACATCAGCTCAATTCCATTCAGACCTGGTACTTTGACTTCTTCTGTGATGTATACCATACTAATGATTGATTTAAGAATAGTGAGTCCTCATCTGGAACATGTTGTAGTACTTTTGGTGAAAYATTCAATATTGAATCAAGTTTGTTCATTGTYAGATCATCACTTGAAAGAGTAATGCAGCATTCTTGATACTTAACAATATCTTTCCACCAACCTTTGTTTTCCCTGATATTCATCTAAGTTCCCTCAAATCTTGATTGCTACATGCTGGTATCATTGTTGCTTCCTGACAGTTTGTTGTGCATTTACTTGTACATGTTGAAGAGTCAATCATTCTCTTACATTTTGGAACARMCAATCAAAAATTTGACTTACAAGTATTTATTTGAGTCTTGG